ATGGCACAATTAAAGGATCTCACTCTTAAGCGATAATATGTTGGTGACAGGAACAGGATACACAAACCTGTCCACTCCTGTAATCCAGCCCAGTGTCATGTCATTAAAGTGGATTACTTACCAGCTTTTGTGCATTTCCATTTTCAAAGCATGTTTGGCTTCAGGTGTCACATTACTGAAAGACACTTTGTGTAGCTCTCCTAGACGATATCATTCAGGCAACATTACATGAGCCCTTTAGGGAGGGGGCGGACCTTTCTAAGCAGCCACTGAATCTAAGAGATGTATCTGGCAAAAGCTGCACACAAGTTGATTCCATAAAATTACAAGAGGGCACGGAAAGCATACACTTACCAACCTGTAAGTGCGAGCAAAAAAAGCAGACAAGAGGGAAAAAAAGGAAACGCTTTTTGTACGAATTAAACATCAAATGCATGACAACCCCATGTGGAGTAACAGCATGGTCTTGTTGTTTCCCAGACTGTTGTGCGTCACTGTGAAAACGTTGTACAGCAGAAACACATCTGTTTGACGTTTCAATTGGCTCCTTTTAAACGAAACTTAAATACCTGTATGCTGTCTGTGACATACTTAAGTATTAGAACAATTTGATTCTGTATGACTGGTGGAACTTTCAATGCCCCTCAGTCCTTTGAGGTAGTTTAATACATGCGGTACTCCAGTGAGTGCCTTTTTGAGTTTGCTCTTGATCAGAGGGTTTCAGACGGAGACAGATGGGCTGAGGTTTCTTTGTGCTGCTGCTACAACAGCAGGAATCTTCCCATGAGGGGAATCATACTACAAGTCCCAGAGAGGGTCAAAAGAGCTCACAGATCAATACACATTAGCTGCTGCTCGAGTGCTGAACATGGATTAGTTGACATCATGGAAATTTGAGGGTTGCAGTCTGTGTGTGTTTGTGTGTAATAAAGAGCCAAGTAAGCACTACCGTTATCCAAGATTATGCTAATACCAGTGTTATGAGGACTAGTGGAGCCGAATTAATTTACAAGCATGAATGATTTCTTCAGTAAGTATTTAATATATAAAACAAATAACTAGAGAGCATCTTGCGACGCAAAATGGGACCAGGGGCATAGTGTGGGCTTCCTACCCCCCTACTTTCTGGCTTCCTTGCTCAAACCACACCCATCTTCGAACTCTGCCTCATTTGAATCTCATTTACACACTTGTAAAGTTTAATGGCCGCATCCTGCACGGTTGTGATCTGACCGCAGACAGACAGACACGTAAACACCTGGCAAAGTACTCAAAACCGCTTCTGTGGTGGTATCTGCTCCAGTAGTACCGTGGGTGTTTACACACAGACTCACAAGGTGAAAACAATACCAGTGTCACCGTGGCGGCTGGTAATAATATGACAATAATGAAGTATCATAATCTCAATTCTTCTCAATTTTATGATGACATGATAGACCTCTATTGAAATCCTTTGACACAAGGAGCATTCAAGGAATAGTTCTACATTTTGGTAAATATGTGATAGATGAGAATATTGATACCACTCTCGTCTCATCTGTGCATTAATAAGTAAGGAACAATGAGTTGTGTTACTGGCCACCTGATGTATGTCCAATATTTGCTCGTGTTTTAGCTTTTTTTTTTGGTCTCCACCAACTTCTGAGGGAAATATCTAACTTTGTCTGCCGTTTGGTGCTGAACAGGTAGTGTGCAGTGGGTTTATTAGAACTTTTTGTTTTTTACTGCAAACAGCTGCATGCTGCGGCTGAAAATGCTGATGAGTGCTGAGAGAGCGAACCAAAACACTTAAGTTGCGATCCAGAACACCAAAGCGGCAGAAGACACTAAAACTTTCAGAGCCGAGAGAAACTGAGGAGTCGAGTGGTAATTATCTGTGGTTTCAGCACTGTGAGCAACCTCTTTCACATACAAGTAGACATTTGATCCATTCTTGATATGAAAATATTGATTTGAGCGACTTCAACCGCAGACATGCACTCACAGAAAGAATGCAATTAAGTGTATTTCCCAAAATGTATGTAGGCTAACTACTCCTATAAGATAACATTTGTGACATCGGTACAACCCGCTGTATGTTGTCGGGACGGTTGATGTCACAAACCAAAAGCCTTTGACAGCTTAAGTCTTTAATTCAAAGCTTGTTTGGGGATGTATTTGTTTTTGGAGCCACTGATGAGAGGAGAAGGATCCAAGAGCAGAGAGACTTGAATCTCAGGAGACTCTTGATACGTGTTTATTTTGGCAGGGCTGGGTAGACTGAACAGAGGAAGACTTGGCAGAACAATAAACAACTACTGCTGCTGAAGAAATACTAACTCACTATATACGCCAGAGAAAAGCAATCTGCTAAATAAACTACTCACGTTGTCTTAATGTCCAGTCCAAATACAAAGCAAACTCGAGAGCAGGTAGCACTCTGCTGCATTAGATAACACTGGATGTTGACGTTCGATGAATCCCGGGTTACATGCCTGCAGGGGATCACATACCCTTGGTGCATTGACACATGACGACCTGATCAGCACCCTGGACAGTTAGACAGTGAGTATATATTTCAATTATTGGAATTATGTTTAACTTCCTGACACTAGCTCTAAGCAGCATCAAATACATAAATTACAAATAAAAATGCAATTACATATTTCCTAATTTTCCTCAGTTGAAAAATAAATACTTTCTCAAGGAAAAACTTTTCTAAATGTTGTCAAACATATCATTGGAATATCCTTGTTCTGATACACAGGAATAAGTGCCAGTCAGTCATGAGATACATTCAAAGGAAGATAAAATGTTCAAATGTGGAAATTGTAAAAAACTAACATACCTGCAGTTAGTTGTCTCTGTTTGTATAATAATGTATAGGTTTGTAGACAAATCCATCATTTATTTAAGTATTTTGGAATAGTCGGCACAAGTTCTACTGATAACAGCTGACAAAAAGACATTACTCTGCATAGCTGTAGCCCATATAGGCCCTGGTGTAATGTGTGGAAAAGTGCTGACTAAGCAGCTCTGCAAATGACTTATTTTACTGCATCCTGTCCTATTGCCCAGGTGAGACCAGCAGTATTTCATAAGCAGTTTGTATAGCTTCAGGTGGGTTGAGAGTAAGATCTCTTGTTGTTGTTTTACACAAAGACAGAAACACAGACTTAAAGGATGAGTTTTTACTGTAGAAGCCTTAACTGATGACATCGGCACAAACGCCGTCAGTGACATTCAAATAGAAATGTCTGAAAATGGGTGCTTTTTCTAGACTTGTAGAGGACTACTCAACTCCCGTTTTCTTTTAATGGAGCAAAGATTGAAACTTTTTAAGACTACAGTTTGTCACAGCTGCCATCTGATGCAGAGGTGGAGCTGACGGTGTGAAGCTGAGCTACAGCTGTCGGATCACTGAAGCCAGTGAGCGAGTGTGGAAGCTGACGAGACCTTCGGGTGGTTTACTGGGACTGTCGGATACACTTCCACTCACCCTTGCTCCATTTACCTTTTATTAATTTAATCATCCTCATTTTGTGTCAAGACTTGATCTGTGCCTCGTAAAAGCGAGACACAAAAGTTAGAGTGAGAGCGTGTGTGTGCTATTACAGTATGTGTGAAACCCAGGAGCAGGAATTAGTGAGAGAGACGGGGTAAAATGGTTGTGGCCTTTAGTTTGACATTTCTGACCACAGTAACACACATGCACAAACACATGGTTTGCTTTGGGGCCAGATTTTGACAGCATGACAAAGATGGTGGTAAATGTATCTGCTTTTTTGGGCACATATACTCTACTTGTATGTTGCCCTCCAGGTGTGCTGATGTGGTGTAATGAAAATTTAAAAACAACTTCGTAGCTTAAAGAAAAATCTTTTTTTTTCATAATTTTGGTCATCCATATTATCGGTTATGATAATATTTTACTCTACGACTTAACGGCAAGGAACTGGTGAAAACACGAGACAGGTTATTAACAAATCCTCATCCATCATTGTGTAACTTTTGTAAAAGTGAAAACACAGTATGTATTTAAGTAAAATAATTATTAACTAAATTGTATATAGTATTGTGCAGGATTTATTTGGTACTTTTGTCTTTATTTTAACTTCCAGATCATCATCAACAGAATAACGGTGGTCAAAAATAGAGTCGTAAAAAAACAGTAATTTTGTTTTAAAGTCACAGTGAAATGGCAATTACGACATATTTAGCTTCTGTGGTGTGATATATTTGCGATTGAAATGCAATATGCAGAGTGGGAAGTTAAATTAAATGAGTCATTAAATATCTGTTGTTTAACAGGAAGAGAAGGTATTTTTGAAGTTCAAAAAAAATACTCAAATGCGTTTTTTTGACATAAAAAATTAGATTTTTTTAAGGGAAATAAAAATCTCCTTTAGTTTGTTTTTAATTCAAAGCTGGGTTATTTTGAAAATAACTTATGTGTAAATTGTGTTTTTATCTGTTTGTGCTGTATGTGTGGCAGCAGCTCAGATTCAGTCGGCTTCTATGGGAATTTTCTGTCAAACACATTTTTGTAAAGTTGCCAAAGCCCCGTGCACGGTGACAATAACACGAGTGTCGGAGACAATGAGGGAAACGGAGAGGGAATGGTGTCCCCTCTGGATAGGAATGTGTCCCCTTGCCCAGGTCACAATGCCCAATTCAGCCCGGGCCCCCGGCATAAAAACATGCCATTCTGAAATACCAGGTGACGCTTTGTGTGAGCCATTCATTATCTCACTGTCACATGTCTGTCTGTTGGCTTATTCAAGACTGTCAGACGAACAGACCAGGGGTTGTGGACGAGGCCCCTCTGCAGTAAATAACACCCACTCATTGTCATCTGCAGAGTGGCTTAGTTCACGGTAATTAGATTTGATCATAGTTATTACCGCCAAAGGTGCTCTGTAATGACTCATTTTGTGATAAAACTCTTCTGCAAAGTAACTAAATGACATATAATCCACCTGGAAACGTTGGTGATGTCAGTGTGTATTTTTCGCCCACAGGTTCAGCCTACTATGACAATGTGCGGCCGTTAGCGTATCCTGACTCAGATGCTGTCCTCATCTGCTTTGACATCAGCCGTCCGGAAACACTGGACAGCGTGCTGAAAAAGGTCAGTGTCGCATTAACAGAAGTGTGAATGTGTCCTGACAAAGCAGAGATGGTTTTCAAGGTACATTTTGTTTCTTATCAGGACTGCAGGCATCATAGCAGCCTTAAACGATTAGGTTCTGATATTTTCAATCTTAACACATAACTCACATGCCTTGTGTAGTGAGATAGTTATGCGTAAATTGATTCTCCTCTCTGTACTGGCCATGAAAGGATTTCTTTTAAGCACTACTACTACTATACTGCCTTTTTGGGCTGAGCAGTTAGTGTGCAGTGGGTTTTTAGGGCTTTTTCACTGTAAACAGCTGCCTACTGCGGTCCAAAAACGAGGCACAGATAAACAATAAGCGGAACTCATTATAAAGCTCTCTAAAGCTGAGGGGACCTGCGGATTCGGGTGGTACTAATCTGTAGGTTTATCACTACGAGAGACCCTTTTTCCATTGTCATTTGTTACTTTGTTATTGTGAAATATCGACTATAGAATCTTAATGGCTCCGTGGCTAGAGCGAGTCGTTCTTTAATCACAAGGTTTGCAGCTCAATCCAAAGTATCAAATATGCAGGTTACTGTAAATGCAGACTTATATACATCTCTTGTCTTATAGCAAGAGTAAAATCCATCCTAGTGTTGAGTAATTTAATCAGCATGGAACACAAACTTTTCTCACATTTCTCTTTGGAAACTAGCAGCATTTTGGATATTGATAAATCTTAATTTTAACTGCTGATGAACATCTGTGCCGAGCGTTTGACCTTTGAGTCAATAGACATTCCTGCAGTCAGCGCCATCATTCATCGATGACATCATCAATACGAGACAAAAACACGTATCTTTTATGTTAGACAAATTCTCACACCTACAGGGGGTCCACTTGAGAACTACCTTGAACTTTGACCCTATTAGATGACCTCAGTAATCATGGTGAATAAACTGATCTCACAATGCATGCCAAGGATGCCAAAGAGACATGTTGATGGGTCACTCTATTCAAAGTTAAGATAAAAAACAAGGGAACTTATCCTGATTCTGTCTTATTTAAGTGCCACTTTGTCTTGTTTCCATTTACTTTGGCATTGCTAGCCTCCATCTTCAAATAACTCCCTTGCAGCACATACCACTTTTTCTCCTGCCATTTTTGACAGCCTCCCGCTTCCCAATTCTGGTGCCCTTCAATTTTCCTCTCGGAAGGACTATTTTTCTCTCAGTATTGCTAAGCTACAAAAATGCCCCTCGACTCCTTATCACTTCCCCTTTTCCTTTTTTATATCCTTTGTTCTCTTCAGTCCAATCTCTCTTCAAACACTCATTTGATTTCTCATCTAGCATAACGCAGTCTAACGCATGTTACCCCAGTCTCTGCCCGACTATCACCTTCTTATAACGCTTCTTGCTTTGCAGCTGGCGACATTTTCTCACCTTTTCTAAATATCTTTCTCACACGGAGTATGTCAGCACCGCTGCATCTCCGGCTCTCTATCTCTTTTCTGTATCTTTAGGGTTTGGATTGGAAATATTAGGTTATTTGTGAAGGAAATGTTTGATTGTTGTGATGAGAGCATCTCTATATCCAACCTTCAAGGCTGCAGCATAAAGCATGCTCAGCTTGTACATATGAAAACCAGAAGGTGTACAAACACTACAAGGAAAATAGCAGAGGATGACAGACACTAACACACACACACACACACACACACACACACACACACACACACACACAATCTCACTGGATGATGATGGGTCTATCACAGGTCTACAAAAATGTCACAGTCTCTATATCTTTTAAATTGTGTTTTCAGCAATTTTCGACAAAGAATGCTAAATCCCAGTCACATTTGGAAATAGTCTTAACCAGACTAAGAGTCTACAGACATGCTAGTGGCTCTATGTGGCAGTATTTGAGTAAAGAAATGCTTTGAACTAAACGCTAACATCAGCATCACTTGCTCAAAATGCACATTTTCTAACATGCTGATGTTCAGCAAATATGTTTGCACTATCTGTCCTGTTCACTATCTTAGTTTAGCAGGCTAGGGTGCTAACATTAGTTAGTCATGAAGTCATAAAAGTTAAGCTGATGATGGTGTTAGATCAAATATTAAGGGTTTACCAAAGTTGTTACAATTCATACTGAGTAGAACATGAATGTCTGTCTGTTCCAAATTTCATGGCAAATGTCAACGTCATGGAGGCGCTAGAGGAAAAGTAATGGGGTCAGGTCATTAGGATTCTTCCTCTGGGGACCTTTAATGGGAGTTTATCAGAAATATCAGAATCAGCCTTAATATCGCAACATGTGTAATATTAGCGTAATCGCATAATTTAAACTCCTCAGAGGGCGTTAAACTCCCAAAAATAATTCTGAGAACATGACCTCAGTCTCCTAAATGGCAGCTACAGCCCTTCCTGGTGGTTTTGATATCTGTATTTTGAAAGTGCAGTTACCTGGATTGCACATACAATATATGTACATGTATATTGGAAAACTGAATTGTCACTTTTGTCCATTTTCTTCCTTTGACAAACCAGACTCAGCTTCAACTGTGTGTGTTCTGCTCTTTATCCGGGACAACCTACCAATTCTTTAAATTAACACAAACAATAAGCTGCTCTTCCCATGGGTTCTTTTGTGACTCATCTAATTTGCTGCTATTCACCAGTTGCACACTGTTCAGCGGAGCGGCCTATTGAAAGGCAACAGCTCACTCTGCATAACTGCACAACACACTGCGGCCCGCAACAGCAGCGACACAGGCAACTGGGAGAAAAGATCTCTTTGTAAGGGAGAACAAATGGAGCAGCAACGCTCAAAGTGGTTGTCTGTGCCATGGTGTGAGGAGATTGTGACAAGAGTCTCAGAGAGAAAGGAAACGATGGAGACAAAGTTAAATCGTTTGTCTGTGGTCTCTCTGTCTTCTTGCAGCATTTATGACCACGAGCATCTTGCTTTCATGAGCTCATGTTGGGGCAAACAGAATATTGTTTTAAACATTGGGGTCAGCAAAAACAAGAGGGGAATGTTAAGTTACACTTTGATCGATAAAATAAACCATTTCTAGGTTCAAGTTTAATATAGTCACTGCCACATTATATAGCAAACAAATATATACATACCTTTATCCAAATAATGTGGCTTTTTTCAGGGTTTGCACTCGGCCCCTTTCCAAATAAGGAAAATGTTAATGCTACAAAATATAATATTTTTGGCCAAGTTGTGCATCCAGCTTTGTGGCAACAGTTTGGGCTGTATTTCTTTGTTTTTGTTGCCTAGTTTAGTGTGAATAATGGAGTGAAGAATGGAAATGAGATATTGTCTACTATCCTCATTCAAACCTACATTTGATTTACAATGACCCTGTGCACTCATGTTTTTGTCTGTTAATACACAGTGGCAGGGGGAGACGCAGGAGTTCTGTCCCAACGCCAAAGTGGTGCTGGTCGGCTGCAAGTTGGACATGAGGACGGACCTCAACGTCATGAGAGAGCTTTCCAAACACAGACTCATTCCTGTCACCCACGAACAGGTGAGGAGTGCAGAGAAAACACCGCTCATCTCTCTTTATCTGTTTGCAGAAGGGGTGTCAAACCTAGCTTGAAATTAACTGCTGTTCCTGCAACCATATCCTAATAATGCAAACTTAATTTTGCATGTGTGAAGAACTGAACAGTATTGATTTCATTTATTTAACACTATAAATAATTGGAACATCTGTTGGATATGGTTTTAAATGTACAGTCCTTTCCAATTTTCCGCTGCAGCGATTTTTATTTGCCTACAGTAACACTGACTGACATACAAATGTAATGGTATCATTCCAGACAAATGACATCCGTTGCTTTGCTCCCTGGTGCCCATACTGTAAACAAAACTTCCGAAAGTGAATTGGGAGAATGACATTTGCTTCGTTTGCTTCATCATAACTTCCACAAATAAGTAAACACGAGGAGAATAAAAGAGCTGGGACTGAACAAAGATAGAGACAAACAGCCGGATGTGCGATAATACAATTGTTTTGTTTGTGTCTTGGAGCAATGAACGTGGCACGCATGAATTTCAATAGCCTATTTTCATGTAAATGTGAATTCACACTTCTTGGCAGCCATTTGTCAACATATTAATATTTCCTCATACTTCCGACAAAGCAAAGGTAAACAACCTAATTTTCCTGTCAGTAATGGCATCAGAATTAGTCCATCTAGAGCTCAGATTCATTTCTCTGGATATTTAGCTCCGAATTAACAAAAAAACTCTGATTACGCAAACTGTCTTCCCGAAACTGTAACAGCAACAATTCAACTTTGAAACTCTTTCTTTCTTGCCCATCCAATCCGACTAAAATGGTCACTATGAGGACACTTTTACCTTGTTTGGCTGGATGTATACTTTAACTTTCCAGTGCATTCCTAATTAAAGAACATTGTAAGCACATTACTTCTGACGTCACTGTGGCCAGACTTAAGAGTGTTGCTATAGAGATTTTCTTAATGGGCCCCATTAAAAGGGCGGCACCGCAAACAGCCACAAACAGGGACCCTTACATTTCAGCCACCTGACCAATGGCTGTGATCCCCAGAGGAAGCGCATTCATCAGAATGAACCGCATACAAACTGTGTGACTACTGCTGTAATCGGCTTAAAGGCGTCAAAATAGAACCTTGAAGTGTTGGAACGTTTCCATTAATGCAAAAATAATGCAGCCTCCCTGGAAGCACAGCTCAAGTCTTTAATGCTTTTCATAGAAGAGGAATATTATTACCACATATGACTGCTTGATACTCCTTCAATACGGAATACTTCCAACACTGATGGCTGAACACCCACACCGTCTCACAGTATTGATGTTTCATTGCCAAATAAGTTGATGAATCCAATTGATGACACACTCCAGTACAATAAATAATGAAATTAAGTGAGAAATTTACAGAGTAGAAACGCTACTTATAAGATCTAAAGAAGGATTGGTTAAATCAATAAAACTAGATTACTCCCTTTCTTACTATAAGATACACCGAAGCACAGAGCCAGAGTTGTTGCAGCACAGGTATGCAAAAAGAAAGCACAAAATAGAAGTTCAACCAGTCCAGATTTAAGATGGTGATAACCACTACTGGGAATAAGCTGAGTTTTTTTACGCTCGAGTTTTACAATTGCACAGATATGCCATGAATTTTTCATTGCTGTGTGGAGGATCTTAGCTTTTTTTTGTATGCCCCGGCTAGCTATCATGCTTCTGAGAGCGTAGGCTTCTATTAAGAGGAGAGTGTTTACTGTACATGACCAGGAGCTACGGTCTCATATCCACAAAAGGATGAGGTAAGGATAATCTAACCGCATGTAACAAATGGAGATAATAATGAACTTCAAGAGAAAGTTTCAAAAGGGTGTCGCAAAGTCCACTCAGCATTCAAGCACTCCTAGTACTGTTTGGCATTAAAACAGTATAAATGTTTTGACTCTATTGAATTACATGAGGCTTCCAACAGTACGCCAGAGGTTCAACATGGTTTAAGGGCTTTTAGAACGCAAACGGCATCAATTCCACCAAATGACCCCTCTGTCTCACACACATACACACAATGTGTTTGTCATAGCTCCAAGTACTAGCACTCAGTAGCTCTTTAGGTGAGACAATCTTTTTTTGGACTACAAACAAGCACAAACTGCAGCACACGGCTGGATAAATGTTGGAATTTTAAAGCTGCACTAATCTTTTCACAGTATAAATGGATAAAGTGACTGTTTGTAATGTCTTCATGCTTTTTTTGTTTTGTTTTGGTTCAGTCTCAGTCTCAGTATTCTCATCAAGCTTTTTTTCCATCAGCTACAAGATGAGCTGGAGGCCAAAAAACGTGTAAGCTCAGAGTTACAAACAGAGAACAAAGTAAGCAAATAGCAGCTAAAGAGACAGATATTTCTCTCAAGGTTTGGTGGTGACCAAACCCAGAGCTAAAAAGGAGACTAAATATCAGATTTACATTTGACAAGTGGCAAGAAACAGAGCTCAAAATGAATGTTAATTTTGCAAATAGCCTGCTGAATGTGCTACCTGTGTCTTCACTGTTTATTCTTCAATTGAACTGACCCATATTCTGTATTTTCAGGGAACTACTTTGGCGCGGCAGATCGGAGCTGTGGCCTACACAGAGTGCACATCAAAGTATTCAGAGAACAGCGTCCGTGACGTTTTCCACGTCACCACCCTGGCGTCTGTGTCCCGTATCCATCGGCCTCAGCTCAAACGTGCCGGCTCACGTCAAGGACTCAAGCGGGTCTCCCAGCAACCGCCCCGGACTGAGATTCACGAACACCCACCTGCCATTAGAAAGGACCGGGCCAAAAGCTGCGTGCTCATGTAGGACCTGTCTAACCAGCAGCCTGACCCGTGTGCGCCGATGGACATGAAACCATACTGCACATGAACTTAATTTATTGGTAAATTCTTGTCAGATATTTGCACTGCATAAAGGACAATATGATGAAAACGAGAACCGATGCTATATTGTGGAGTTCTTTGACGAATTGTTTGTCCATCTTCAGCAAAACTCTCATTGTTATTTTTTCTGTGTGGCCGTGTTCTTATCAGGGGAGGTCATTGTGGTGGCAAAAGCTTGTCTTTCTTTAACGCTTTTATTCAAACAAGTGGACAAAAATAGTCATGGACACAAACAGGCTGGTACGGAAATGAAAAACTGATTATGAAAAAAATACTAATTGGAAATTACCTAGCAGGAACCAGCATTTACAGTGCTGGTCTTGACCTCTGTTATGTTGTTTCCTGTTTTGAAATGCTATTCTCTCTTAAGTGTTAAAGTAAATGAAGCACAATACAATGCATGTAAACTGTTCCGAGTTGTTCTTAAATGTCAGGGAATAAACTTTGCTTTTCCACTTCATATAACAAGAAAATCTGGACGGATGAAAAAAACTCGTGGGCTGAGATGACACAAATGTTCTTTAACCACAAGTGCTTTTAATATCGAAAACTGAATAATCACTCACCACATAAGACTGAAGTGTTGTGAAATTAAAAGTGTTCTAACAATCCACACTGGGAAGGAAAGTCAGGGAGGGAGTGAAGGGGATGACTGCTATGTTGTACATGTGATAATAAAATAAACATATAAATAGTGCTTAGCTGAGTGTTGGGACTTCTTTAATATTCTGTGAACTGTGATTCTGTGACTGTGAACTGAATTTTTATGCTTAAAAGATTTCAGTATATTAATCGCAAATAGCATATGCAATGATAAACATCAACAAACCACATTAAAACTCATGGATCATTCATGATCTTACATTTTTTAACAAGTCTTTGAGCTAAATGCTAATATCAGCATGCTAACGTGCTCGCAGTGATATTGCTAACATGTTTAGCAGGTATGTTCATCGTCTTGGTATAGTGTTTTAGCCATGTCAAATTTGCTACGGCGAGTAGAATAGTTAAGGTACCAATTAAAAGCTGTTGTATAACAATAATTAACATCTGGAATTGCTAAATTGTTTACATTTTTAAACTGAGTCTGGCCTCTACATGAAAGTGTCATCTGGCTAGTTCCAAGTATGAAGAGGAAGCAAACCATTCACTCATTACTGCTCTGTGCTAACATCAAGTGATGCGTTAACCTGCCACTGTTGGCTACTTAATGACTGCAGTAGATTACTGGCACATACAGTCGATCATTTACTCATCAAAATCATCTTTTTGGTGACATGTTGTGTTGGGACTTACAAAATTCACCTATTTTTGTCATTAAATTGGCATAGTGAGAGAATGCCTTGCAACCATGCATTTGTGTCTTTGATGTTGACCAGCCAACATTTTTATACTGCCATTATTTTCACACTTACAGAAATTCTTTAAAACTATTCAGCAACATCATATATAACGTGAATATAATCCCATCGTACTTCAAATGAATACAGCTGTACTGGACTATATTTACGAGCCTTGAAGTCTGACCTTTAACAGCGACTCTTGTTCCATTTGTTTCCCACCACCGTGGATAAGGCCCTGCAGCAACTCGCTGCCTCTGTGAGCAACAGCAAAGTGACATTTCACAGCATCGCTGCCATGTCGCCATGCAGGGAGCGCAAGGTCGCATCACATACCCGTGGCGAGACCAGTGTAGACCGCTAGTCAGGGGGGGGGGGAGCGACCACATGGGTGGAGTAGCAACAATCGTTCATATATATATATATATATATATACAGTATACTGTGTGACAACGTCTGCACAGTAATTAAATCACAAGTGTGGTGGTTAATTATAGCTGGTCAGACTCATGGATAATGGTTATTAGTAGTGTGGTGTAATTTTGAATACAGTGCATTAAATACTAGTTTATTATCCACATACAAAGCCTAGCTATACACCTCTAGTTCTGCATACGAGCTGCAGCACTGCGAAGGACCAGTACAACTTGCAGGCTCGAGCAACCTCAGCCTGAATCATTGGGTCAGTCTCTGCTTTGGTGGGAAGAAATGTTTGTTTATGCTACAGAGAATGTCAAAATGTCACTTTGCGGTCTCTCCTTTGGCCTTCAGCTGAAGTGAGCAAACATCTTTGGCAAACACTCATCACTCTTGTCCTTGCAGCCTCACCTGCCTCAATGGTATTCCACTCCACGGCTAAGTCATACTGTGAAGTGACTGCAGAGCATACTGTAGCTAACGCTTTCTAGTGTATCAAAGGCAACACATTTTTCATTTATTGCCAGATGCTTCCCATTTAGCCGAGAAGATTCGTGTGAGAAAAGCAGCTGAAATAAGAAGGTATGTGGAAAAATGAACTCCAAATGGCTCAGAAGGCGTAAGATATAAAACCACAAAGAGAAAAAGACCATCAGACTCCCACATGGACATTGTTCTCATATATTTCCCATTTTATCCCACTGTCAAAGACCACAAAGGACCTCCAGCTTTACATTTTATCATTATGCGTACAGGTTATGTGTCGGGGTTTAAGTACTATATCCACAGTACAGCCAAGTGTGTTCAAAGTTACAGTGGTCAGTTTGAATGAAATGGATTATGCTAAAGTGTTTTTTTCAGATTCAGCTAACAAGCCAGATGCACTTACAATGAGTAGAATATAATGAAGTTCCTGGCATAAGTCCTTGTAAACCTGAGACAAGTGTGAAGGAAGGAAATAAATAATAGCTAAATGGAGAATGGATTCAGAGAGTGGATTCAATCCAAATGCAAGAGGAGGAAGATGAAAGAGAGCCCGAACTGACAAGAAGTTGATGTGACGTAGTTCTTGAGAATGGCTCAAGGGATAAGTGTTGGTCGGTCATTCCCTACACCACTTTGGTTCAGACTGAAATATCTCAACAACTATTAGATGGATTGCCATGAAATTATATACAGAGATTCTTGTTCCCCCAAGGATGAATTGTAATAACTCTGGTAATCCCTTAACTTTACATCCAACCCCATCATGAGGTTCAAAGTTTGGTTTATAACCAAATACCTGCAAAATGAATGACATTCCCATCAGTCTCAGCTGTACTTTCTTGAGATATTTTGCTAAAAAAAAACAAAAGAAAGTCAACATCACGATGCTGCCGGAGGAAAAGTCAGGAGATCATTAAAGTCAGTATACTTCATTCTCTGGGAAACATGAATGTCTGTATGATTGACATTACCGTCTCAAGAGCCATGCCACTCGCACGGCTAAAATGCTGCCCGTCTGTTGCGATTTAGTTTCAGTCAGCATGCAGACATTTCACTGAAAATATCAGCTATAGACAAGTAGAGATGCATGCCTCAATCTGAATGTAAAGAGGGTAAAATAAAAGTATCGTCAAGTGAATTGAGTCTTATCAGACTTAGCATTACTAATGGAAGTTGTGTTGGTAAATCAAACAAGAGCGTGCCTGAACATAAAGGTACTCCATTGGAGACATGGCTTTTAAGAAATAGAATATATAGAGTGCAATCGAGTGGTTGATATATATATATATATATCAGAGAGGGAGAGATTGAAGATTATTGCTTTCAAAGTGATGTAACAAAACACCCAACAAAATGGTGACCCAGGCTAATATAAAAGTTCTGTAAAAGTCTGTATACATGCTGTATAACTTTGTAACTCGTGCATGGAATCTTGCAGAATCACCTTTAAAATGAAGGCACTTGGATTCACCTAATTAATTTGTGTCTTATTCCCACAGAGGCAAATTCTCTTTTTCTTTTCGTTTGGGATGTAGAGTTGGATTAATGTAACTTTCTCAGGGATGCTTCGGCAGTTGTGGCTTCGGAGGGACTGAACCACTGATCTCAGGTCGGAGTCACCAACAACCACAGGAGTTCTTAGTCTCGTTCCTGCTGCATTTCAATCCAACCTCCTAATCACAAAGCATTTACCTGGAATGTGAAGTGAAAGAGCGACAGAGAAGCAACAATCAACTCTAACTATAACGTTCAGGTTCCAAATCCACCTTACGACCTGCAATGTAAGTGTCCTGTGAGACGAGCCAGCCACATGAAAATAATGTGGAGTTACACGCGACTATGTGAACCGTTTAGTAATGGTGATGTAAAATGTATCATGGTTTTACTGCAAAGGAAGGAAGTTTGTTTTTGCACTTTTCAGCCAGACAGGAATCTCCCTCCATCTTCTCTCTATCTTGCATTATTATTATATGCACCATTATCTTGATACAAACACACTTTGCTGGGGGTGCATTTTTCATTTTAATTCCGCTATAAAGCATCACTGATCAGTGACCACTGAGGCTCAACCCTTTTGCATCTTTAATGTCTTTCCTGCTTGCACAGTGTCAGTTGCCATAAAACTACACCCTAATGCTCTGAGGGTGGAAGATGGCTGACAGCTCTGCTCTACTATCAGTTCAGTTTTACTCAAATACCCACTTTTACCATCGCAAATTAAAGGGAATTAGGTGAAATAAGGCTGACAACAAGCATCAACCATCCAACACAAGCAACACAATAGCAATGCCAGGATAATGGTTGCCGTGTCAGTGGGAGAGAGTGAGTCATTAAAAATGCAGGACCCATTTAAACAGTATGTAAAATTGAGCAGATTAAAAATATATGTGTCCTGGTCCATGAAGGCGCAGGCTTCTCCTTCTGTTCTTTCTGTGCAACAGTGAAGGCGGCAAATTGGTGGAGTCAAGATGAGTGAAAGCACATACACATAAAACAAAACACGGCACACGCGCGCGCACGCACGCACGCACGCACGCACGCACGCACAAAATAAAAAAGGAGGATGTTTCTGAAATTGGATTTTTACTATGGTGGAACTCCTACAAATATAAACAGGAGTAAACAAATCTCACACTGGAGGGCTTGACTTGTTTTACAAAAAAAAAAAAAATCACAGTGTGTTCCAAATATGTAAATTCAGTCTTTCATTTTACATAAGAGAATGTTTTGGAGGCAGTATGGACTTGCTTGGAAGGAAACCAAACCGGTTGGTTTTCTAGAGAGTTTCCCTGTTCATGACCTGGCCTTAAGGACTTTGTTGAAGAGACACTTGTAGACAGTGTTTGGTTTGAAGCCAAAGGGTGCGACCAAAATACTGGGCCAGCAAGTAATGAGGATCACAAGTGTGAGATCCGTCATCACAGACAAGTGCACTCATTACTCATAGCAGCTTGACTACAGAGAGCAGACATGGGTGTGTGCGTAAAGTGCACATGAACACCTAAAATATCTAAAATTAGCATCAATAACCAATGTGGACGTCAATTGTCTGACCTAACTTGTCTTTAAACACAGCTGGCGCCCTCTTATCTTTTAGTTCTCACAAGTGTAACTATTTTTGCACAATACTAGATTTAATAATAAAATTGGGTCAGTTTGGGCATTTCCACCATGCTGTGCAATGATGACCTGTAATGACTAACATATAAATACATTGTAGAGTTATGACAAATCACAAACCAATAAATATGATTATTACTTGATTATTGTTATTACTTGATCTTTTGACCCATAAAAAGTCTGAATGAATCGATCCATCCAAATTTACCCAGACATGACAACAGACATCTGGGTTCTGTTGTTCTTTTGGAAAGAAACAGGCTATTTGCTGAAGTCAACTCATGTCATTTCATGACTAACTTGTCATTTGTAAAACAAAAATCATGGCAAAATCTTTGTTAAGTTTACCACTCAGATGGAACGCAGCGATAGCGGCTCGCTATAGGTTGGCCAAACTCGGGAAGAGTGTCTGGTTTAGGGTTTTCCTGGAAGATTTCAATGTACCAGACAAATGGGAGACATTACTGTGAAATATCGTCTGCGTATATTGAGCTTAAAAACAATTGATAGGCAGGCTATAAAAATAATGGCATCATCATGAATGCTCAACATGGGTCTGCTTGACTTCAGAGTGTAGAGCGGAGAAGTGAAGATAAAGCTGTTGTACCGGTTTACAGGCTCAGTAGTGAATATGATACCATTTGTATAATTTGTTTCCAGTAGTGGCTGTTGGATTGTTTCCGTATTGTGTGATCCAAACATTTCCAAGAACTCCAGTTCAAGTCCAAAAGTCGAATTTATTAAAAATAAGAAATTACTCCCAAAAGGTTTTTATCTAACAAAATAATCTGCTTTAGTCCATATTTGTTGTGTTTAGCCTTTGAAAAATAAACATTTTCACTGAGGTAAAAAATTGTTTGCTCTCACATTCATAAAAAGAATGATAGAATCAGATAATGATTTTTTTGTGTCCGATAACCAATATCATTATATATGTTGTAAAAAATAAGTATGGTAAGGCAGTAACACATAGCTCAAGGTATGCTTACTTCTCATTGGAACTTTTACAGCCATGAGAAATATCCTTCAGCAAAATCCAGTGCAGTATCATGACAATTATGACCACAACATTGACTAAAATTAAAACCGAGTACGAAAACAAAGCAAAAAGACTACAATGTGACTTTAAACCAACCGCTATTTTCAGTAAGCGACCAAGACTAAAAACAAAAATGTTGAATTCTTGTCAAAATGAACACTGCACTGCACCGTGCAGAAGAACCCCAGGCAGACACACACTCTTGCGTCACACTGTGAAATAAAAAAAAAGGAACAATCACTCTGCTCATCCTGAATTTACCCGGGGGGTAAATTACTGCCCTTAGGTGTCTAAAGCAAAGGCCAATCTGCTTATACATGTTTCCATACACGTACACAGATGTGCAGCCTCACAAACCAACACGCCTGCTGAAACATTCCAGATGGCCAAGCAGATTGTTTGGTGCTGATTTCCCCCAATTAAACGTTTGAACAGAAATATCATCCACAGTGAGATACGTCGGTCCGTGCCGAGGCATTAAGACTCAAGTACATGCAGCCATAACTCAGTTACTTTGAAAGAGGCTCTAGTTAATAAATAATATGGAATATAACAATGGAATAAAAGGATTTATTGTTTTGTGAAGAGTGTCTTAGTAATGGTTACTGGTAGACATGGGTTGGGGTTATTGCGGACAATTGTATTGAAACATCTTTGTGTCATTTGACAGTTGAGCATCAGGATTCACTCTCCACGGGTCACCAACCCTTCATTAAACCAACAAAACCCTCAGAGGCTAATACCATGCTGTTAATTGTACGGCAAAAGAAAGGAAACAGTGTTGCATTGTGAGCGTCGAGTCCGTATCATGCTGCAACCTCAGCTCCCGTACAGAGCAACTGAGCTGGATGTATTCTCCGCTGCAGCTCGGCACCGGAAAAATCAGCTGACTGGAGGAAAGCAGCACCCTGGCACTCTGGCGTCTGGCACCGCACATCTGGCATTTAAAAGGCCTCGGAGCAAACGCGCTGACATTACTGTTTCGTGTGGGCTCTTTCTCTATTTTAAGCCACCTGCTTTCTGATATCTGTTGCAATGAATGACACTGAATGCAGCATTTGTATTTATTCTGCAACTAAAAGTCTCTAATACAAATTGCAAAAGAGTTGTTGATGTTCATTTGTAGAAAAAAACAACGCTGTTAAAGAAGTGTTGAAAAGATTGCGTGTTGATGTGTCTGGAGGAACATTCTTTTGTCATGTACTGTAAAGTACCCTTTCTTCAGCAGATGTATTTGAAACTACCAACTCTAACACTAAAAACACTGCTTATAATCACCACTCCAGCCCTCAAGCCAACCTCTATATGGAGTTAATGTAGGGGGCAGTCATTCAAGTTGACTCATGTCCTTGAGTCATAAATGTTCCAAGCTCATTCTGCTGGAAAAGTTGAGCGTAGCTGCAGGAGCAATATGTTTTTCTGCAATATCGCCGCCCTTCAAACACTCACTCATATCCACGTTGTTTCAATAGTTATAGTTTTTTTGCAGATATGATTTCCCCACCACATTAGCTCTGGTTTTTTGCATCGACCACAATCACCATTGTGCGGACCATAAGCACATCCTAAGGGATCTCGAGTGAGTGCTATAAGTAGAAACATGCATTATTAAGGAGGTATGTTTTCCATATGCGTGGTCTACATATGTGGTCTTGTTTGTCATGAATGTGAGAGAGAAAAAACCTGAAGTTATGAATGAAACACTGACATTTACAGAATTTTGAGAGATACGCTTATTACTCTCTTACCCAGAGTGTGATGAGACGATTAATACCACTCTCACATCTGTCTAATGTAAAGCTTGCAGACAGTTCGCTTAGCTGACTGTTCGGCTCTTAAGAAACAGCTCACTGTCAGAGAAGAAGTCGCAATTACAAATCCGTCTGCTACTTCAGCACCACGGACATGGATTCATCAATACACAGCACAGCTAATCTACTGATATTTCAGCGCCATGGTCTGTAATTTGCACAAACCCCAGTCAGATAAAGGCTCAAAGAGTTGACAGGTTAACAGGGCATGTATTTCGGTCATTTTGCTAACAAGAGCGATGGCATCCCCTCTCAAATAGTCAACTGATTACATCAATCTTATAAGAAAACATTTGTTGAAAAGTGACATACACTTCGGTTTCAGTCTTTGTATGAATGTGGTCAGTGAAGTAGTGAATCACAAAATCAGAAAATAAATGTCAAAAAAAAGTTACTGCTGCCCGTAAAATACGCGATGAGGAGAATATTAACAGGCAGGAACATAGCCTAAAAGGAAGTTTCATTCACTGAGTTGAAATGAAATTTGGTAATTTGAGTGCTTTGAAGATGGTTACAACATTAATCTGTTGAACTAAAACTTTAAAAATTGTACTTTAAATTTCAAACAGTACTATTAAAATAATAAATAATAACTATTTTGAGAGGGATAATGGAAATAACCAGGATTTGTAGCCCTTATTGTTTCAGCATCCTCACATTTTATCCAGGAAGGATTTCAATGTATTTTAAATAAGGTAAAATAATATTGATTATACCTTTGTCACAGACCTTTCACCTAAAAACTGCTGCACAAAAACAAGCGTTACAGCTGCATAATCTTCAACAGCGATGTTTTATTGCGACGTAACCTGAGACGCACAGATTTTCTTCTCACGGTAAAATGAAAGCATGAAGACGGCGCACACAGGCGGCTCACACGGCCCATTCCTGCAAAACTCTTCTCTCCTATTCTATCCCCTCACAATGGCTGTTCAATAATTAAAGCGAACCGTGTGCATAATATGTTGCCTTATTCAAGCCAATGTTCAGGAAGGCTACAGGCGTTCCGCCATGACCAGACAGCTGGAATACAACAGGGATTTGCAAACAACAGTCGCAGAGCCACGAAACAAACAGCGGAAACACTGGAGAACAGGGACGACAAGAGCTTATTTAAATACATAACATCCGACAGGAGACATACAAGTAATACATACTGTAAATCTCTGTAACCCCAAAGGATGTCACGAGTCACGATTATAGCATTTCCATAAATACTCCAACTAACAATAAAGCTTATCTGTTATGTCCAGATTTGCTACATCGGGCACATTACGTTTTCAAATAAATATAGTTGTTGTGAGTTGCACTGATCGATGTATGTGGGCGATAAAACATGCAAAACGAAGAAAAGACTCAATTTGAGCATCTTGTGTTGATTAAACTTTTTATACATCATGTCATGTAAACACAATACAAAGAGATTTGTAAAGAAAACCGATGAATGACGGTTTTAAATGCAGTGTTGGACATTAAAATGCAGAAGTTGTAAAATGGGTCACGGCTGTAGCTGCACTTGGATCCCTCCGCTCATGTTGTGTACTTGTTGTAGTTTTGGAGGGTGTAGGTTGCCACGGTATCCAACAGCCAACCACGTGTCACGACAGTAGCGTGTCTAGAGAGACCTGTAAGGCAGAGCGTTTCTAGGTAAGTCTGTGTACAATGTAGAAACAATTGGAAGAAGTACACACAGATATGAAACACTAACCTGCATATTAAGAGCTTCAGACAAAATTAAAAAAAAAAAATTCTACATTGGTAGAAATTGTGTTTAACTAATATTAATGTCAAATTAAGCTCTTTTTGTTTGCCTTTTTTTTAATAATCATTTTTAAATCAGTTAATCAACATTGCATTACTTTGTTTATTTTGTGTCTTTTTGATATATTTGTCCGTATTTTATTTCTATTAGTATTATTATGTACATCTTTTTTTAAATTCTGTAAATTAAGGTTTTTATGCTGTTTGTATATAAATGATACTAACCTTTACACTTAAACATATAAACATGTACTTTATACCTTAGTTTAGATATTACATTCAAAACTGAGCCAGAAAGCACTTCAGTATTCTGAGTGATACAATATTCACGGTTTACTTAACAAAACAATCTTTGCTTATTCGATCCATTTAACTTTGTTTTAGACACATATCAGACATATCATCACAGATCACACACATTTGAAAACATAAGCAGCGTATTCCTGTAAGGCATTAATAACCTGGACTGAAATGTCTTGTAAAACATAATCTGGAGCGTGTGCACACACATTTCCATTAGATCAGAGGATGGGAGAGAGGAAGAGAGAGATGTGTGTGATTTCAATCAATGGTGCAGAAGAAGAGGATAAAGAGGGAGAGAGGGGAGGGTAATGGACTACTCGATTACCTGGGCTATGAGTGCCAGAGGACGTGGAAGAGGAAAAGCTGCTTTAAATATGCAGCAGTGTAAATTAGGATGCCAGGAGGAGGGAGGAGGGAGATTCAGAACCACTTGCTCCCTCTCTGTTTTCAAACTCTCAACTTGCCTCGTGCCATGGCAGCGTCTTTCTTCTGTAGCCAACTTGTTTCAACATTTCCCCCAGCTCCGATCTGACATTTTCTCTTGGCCATTTTTTTCTGCTGCCTAGGTTTCCTTCACACTCCCTCTTCCTGGCAAGTCACTCCCCTCGCTCTTTGTTGGGAACGGCAACCTGCCTCCTTTTGGCTGGCAGCCCCTGCTATTTCACCGTTCTGTCACTCTCCAACTGGTCCTCACGCAGCCACAAAATGCATCCAAATCAATGTACTAATGGGCAGACAGGTGAACAGACATGCACAGAATGTCTACGCTTATGGGGACCGTCCATTCATTACGGCGTATTCAGATCAGAAAACTGACCTCCAACTATTTTTAATTAGTCACAAATACTGAAAACTGAGTTTAGTCCCTGTTGTGTATTCACATATTTACTGCCTTGCCCTTAAAAGCCTTTTCTAAATAAGAGGTCTACATTCTAATAATCTTGTTGATAATGTGAAAAATACTTTTGAGGAAGACCACAGTGTTTTCACACACCAGAAAAATAAATTAAATAAGATATAATGTGGTTATGGTGACAAATGGATAAAGAATTTCTATATTTAAGTTAGAAAAATAAATCACTTAAATTTCAGCCTGGAGCTTCACCTTTCTCAAATGTTGTCAAAAGATGTTGTTGCTAATGGTTGTTAAAAACATGACAAGAGCGTATTAGCCATCAGCATTTACAACCTAATGAAGACAGCCTGGCAATGGTGGCTGGTTAGCATTGGCTAGCTAGCTGTGATGGGTAGCACACCCTTTTTCCAAGTTATTCTTATACCGTCGCCACATCATGTCAAATCTTAAGTTAAGTGTTCGTTTCATGTTAAAAAAAACTACAAACTTTTTAATGGAACCAACTGGAGCTTAGTTGGCTAACTCCAGTTTGCCATTTGCTTACCGTCCTTTTCAATAAATCTTCTTGGTTGCATTAAATCAGTTAAAATAGCCTCCGCTTGGTTTCTTTGTTGATGACGCTTCAAAGTGTCCAAATACAGGAAAACAATAGATTTAGTGGCTGAAAACTGTCTTTGCATTGACATCATGTCTTCTCAATACTGGCTAGCTTTCTATCTAAACTTGCTTAAGGTATGCTAGCGGCATAGCGGCTAACGGACATAAGACTATGATGAGAAAACAATTAAAATGTACCAAGGTTGTATGATATATTGGTATACTGTCCATCACAATCAATTCCTGTCTGACTCTATGTGTAGGTCTATGCTCGTGCCAGCCTTAAAACCAGAGGTGACGCCATGTAGGAAATATTCAATCAGCTGCAGCTGCTGCTGTCACTCTAATCTCTATCTTTATGAACTCTGTATGAGTGTCTGCATGCATGCCTGTGTGTGCGTGTGTGTGAGAAAGACAGATTGAATGAGAATTACTATGATTGAAAGTGTGTGGAAGCAGAAGATGGAAATGTAATTTTAGACTCACTGCTGTCTGTGGACGACGACTCTGATCCAGACTGTACGATGACGAGCTGATGAGAGATCTGCACAACAAAACAAAGGAAATTATCCCGAATATAGAATTACAAATTAGCAACAAGTAGAACATATAGATTTAAAAGGCAGACAAATTGGAAATAAGTGATATTTTCACACCTGCCTGTTAGATTATGTATTAGCAACATGCAATATCGTGCTTTAAACCTGCTGGTTTGAGGGTTGTTAATACGGATGCAGTGGTTATTGGATGTGGGGATTTCAGCATTAGTCAATCTTTGTTATAAATAGTGTGACACTTTAATAAATAAATAAAACCCAGTAGGCAAATAATAGACATTATGGAGGCTGCAGCTTTGTGAGTCAAAGAATTGTTCAGGGGCTGCAAACTCTCAAATATCACTGATCTGATTTTACAACAAGCATCCCTGCATTTCAGCATTTTTGAAAAGGATGCGGACCAACGTGAAGACCCAATAAGTGACCCGCTTACCTGTTTACCGTCGAGGAGAAGTGGATCTTTGACTACAGCTGCTCCACAGAGCTCCACCATCCACTCCAGTTCATCTAGAATAAACACAAACGAACACAAAGTTGGCTGTAAATGTTGAGTGTTTTGGTAAAACCAAGGTTGATAAAGGTATGTCGGTCACACCTAAATCTCTCTACACCACCTTTAAACCAGAGAGGATGCAGAGCAGACTCATTTCAAGCCTCCTTTGATTGGAGACATGGAAAACGGATCAATACTCAAGTCTGCACTCAAATCAATAACTCACTCCATCTGTCAACACACCTTTAACTTGTATTTCCACATACATCAGATCTTAAACACAAATGTAAAAAAGAAAAACATCAACAGCTTCTACGGATGTACTGACATTGAGTCCTAAATCAACATTTGAATGCTGCTCCGCTTTTTCTTTGGTTTGTTTTTTTGCATTTCAATTAATTCCATTTAAATCACTTAATCAGTTAATCCGATGAATAACTTTTTGAGGACTTTTAGAATAAGACAACAGCCACTGAAAGCTTCATTTTAAAACCTCAATAAAAAGCTTCATACCTGAAAAAAACAACAACATTTCACACACAACCTTAACAGCTTCCCTTGTTTGTTACCTTGAACACGAGAAACACTCGTGTCAGGAAAACCTCAATCCACTTGCAGTGTAAGATTTAGGTAACCTCATCATTCAACATACACAAACAATTCAATAATGGATGGAATCCTGTTGGGCTGAAGACAACAGACTCCACCATCATGTCTGTGCTATGTAGGAGAAAGTCTTTAAAACTCCACACGCTAGCTAGCAGATGTCGGCCCATTAGCAAAGCTTCATCGATTCAGCAGGCAGCGGGAGGATGCAGCAGAAGCACTTTAAGAGCCCCAGGAAGAAGGAAACCAAGGAATGCTGCCTTGTGGGGTTTTTTTAAGCAATGTGCCTCCTGAGACCTTCACCCATGATCTATCTGTCCATTCATTCATGTTGGAAGGGGAAAGCAAAAAGCACTTTGAAGGAAGGGCAGCCAAACTCCTCTCTACCTTCAACTTGGAGGTCATTAACGGTTTGAATCATTAGGGCCGAAACAGGCCGACCGGGATATTTACACCAGTTTTAGAAGATGAGAACAGCAAAAAGTACTTTTGCCACAACTGAAGGCTCATTTCCACCCTGAAAATGTCTTACACAATTCAAAAGTGGTGTATTCAATCCACCCACACTCTCGTCATTGTTCTCCCGTGCCAAAAATGACAGCTTGGGTTAAAAAAAGTGAACGTTTCAAGCTGCGTCAGTCAAAACCTCTGTGAGCTACCGTAACTTTTTCTTTTTGTTGTTATTTTTTTCTACCCGTTCTCTTTTAAAGCAAGGCAGGTGTCTGTCTGTCAGAGGCCTGCAGGACACAGACATCAAGAAAAGTGAATAAGTGCGGTTGAGCAAAGCAATTCTTGATTTGAGAAAAAGAGAACGGTGCAAACAGCACGACGGCAGCTGAAAAAGGCAACAATTCCATGAGAATATACCCAGATTTTTGCAGTCTTTTTCCCTTTGAAAGCATATGCAAATTAAAGTGTAGAGTGTACATTCAAAGATTATCTAGGTGCTGCAACTCATGTGGTGCTTGAGTGCTGTGTTTCTCAGACAAACAAACAAAGATTGTGCAACATAGGGACAACAAATAAAAGTAATTAGAGATGGCTATAAAGTGTATGACAGATATTGTGCAATATATCTGACTCTATCTTAGCTAGTCTCTCATTACAGACAATGTGTGGTATTAAAACTGACCCGTACGATATACTTTATTGTAAGTGACAATAAAAACAAGTCTACTAACACTGCATCGAGGAAGAGTAGGCAGCAAAGATAACGAGGAACTCTGCTAGTCTGCCGTTATGACGCTGTAATAGTGTTACACTTTCTAATATTGTCATGATAATATTAATACATATAAAACTAGTTTGCATGTCACGTCTCAGCCTCTGGGCCTTGTAGAGTACACAGAAAACGTGTCATGTTGCCGATGTGATTTACCTGTTGTCATGTCTGTAAAAGGCCCTTGGAAGCAGATGTTGTAGCCCTTCATGAGCAACTGAAGAGAGAAAGAAGTCACAAGTTTAGAAATTAAAAACGATCTACTGTGAGATGTCCGGAAACAAAATGTCTACAGTCGAGGAAACGAGGACATTGATTCAGGGAATTTAACCTTCGGACAGCGTTCAATAACTCTGTTTGTGAACAGCTGTAACGAACACTTCTACCGGGGTTACACTGGTATTCCTCACTTATTGTGCAAACAAGCTGCTGTGGCTGTAATACTGTAAATTCAGGGATAAGTTGAACAGAAAAAAAGTGAACAAAAGCCATCTTACCAAGGTAATATCACGCTTTAAGCATATAAAGAACTACGGCCTGACCAACACCGGAAGCGCAACGTTTTATTGCACTCGGGGTCAATAAACTCGGAACGGTAAACATGAAATTGCTTCCTTGAACCATTTTAACTACAGAAAGGAAATGTGAGACTCACATCCCAGGCTCGTAGACGGCGCGTGGCTGGATGGAAGAGTTTGAGAAATAAATGTCCAAGCTGCTGGAGAGAGAAATACTCATTTCTCACAGCTCCCTGTCCGTCCATAGTAATCATGAGCCCGAGGGGCTCGGTGAGATGAAAAAGTGCTTCTGTTCCAGATTTTTAATTTAGACAACACCTAATGTCCTTCAGGAGGTATTAGTGTGTGTGATGTGATAACTTGCAAACCCTACACACAGATATTTATAAACATGTTCACTCGAGAGTTTCTTCGGCTGATTTCCTGCACATCAACATTCTGGCGACAGACTCAAGGAGTCCCGGCACTCCATTTAATCTGTTAGTCTGTTAGTCACGGTGGTGCCGGTGACAGAAAGCGAGTATGAACGGGACAATCTGTCCGGCTCCATCGAGAGTGCCTGCGCTGCGTTGAAGCCGCTTAAATAAGCCTGAAATGACTAGCTAATTCAATTAGCGGACGTTCTTCAAAGGCAGCGATACGGCCAACATGACATCGAGCCATTTCTAATTTTCCCCGTCAGTGGCAACAGAGCCGGTCCTGCTGGCCGCACACCGAGAGGAAAATGAGCTTTTACCAACAGGGCCCGAGCTAAGAGGCTGGTGCAATAGGAAGAAACGGGTTCAAGTGCCGGTTGTTATTGGGACACTTTATGTGATTTTCTCCATTGAGTGAGGCTGCTCTTTGAGGTTGGACAGGATATTGTTGTTCTTTCTTTCTTTGAATCAGGTGTTTGTGTGTTAAGAAAATCAACCGGTTTTAAATCAGTCACTTCTTTAGGAGCACAAATGACTGTTGTTGACATGTTTCAGGTGATGAGTGTTTGGCTTCATCAGATCTCTGTCTACAGTTTGTAGTGTGTTGTTAAGATGCTGATAGAATGGACCTGATGAAGCACAGTAGCTTTAATACAAAATAAATTTAACTCAAGGATGATTCTTTTTCTGAATTTAAAATGGGATTCTTAGTAATTTAGTCATAAATATTCAATGTTATGGATAAATACTTACAGTAACAAAATCATACTTTATTCTATTACTTTTAATTGTCACTTTAATGTGCCAGTATCTAGTAACACAGCTGCAGGTGAAAGAAAAGAGCCTCTGTGATTTCTTAAGGACTGACTTTAGCTTCCACCTGCGGGGGCCGTTTAGATGGAATAAACACAGAATAATAGCCGATCTGTTGGTTTGTAAGGCGCTCACGTTATTGTCTTCACTGGTACGAGCTCTCATGGGGCCCTGGTGGTCGGGTCCATTCACCACGTCACCTCTCACTTCAAAGACGCTCTGTTGGCAAAGCAAACCGACTTCAGTACGTGAACCTCACTCACAGCGGTATGAAGCCTTTATTATTCACTCTCTTCTCATAAAAAGGACTGATTGAAAGCTAAAGTAATTAGATTTATCTTAAGGGTGAAATACGCTCCCGAGAGTCCGCTGAACATTCTTCAGTTTGACAGAGTTCCTCTCATAATTGTATGGAGTCTACCTCTACATTCACTATATGATGCATAAAAAAATGCTTAAAAACTGGCCTGGATGACGGAGAAATGGTTTGAAATGAATGGAGGTGCTAAACAAAGCTTGGCAGAGGGTTGTACTTGCATAGCACAGAAACAGATGGAGGGATTAGTAATGCAAGTGGATGACAAATAATCTATGAGGTATCACAACGAACCGCATGCAGAGATTCATCACGCAGCCTTAATTCGACATGGAGACATACAGAGATAACGGGAAGTCACCGGTGCACAAACTCGGAGGCAGACGAACGTACCTCATCTAAGAGTTCCTTTTGTCTGAAGCACTCTGAAATCCCTGCGGAGAGGAAAAAAAACAAAAAACGTTGAGCTTTTTGTCAGGAACACAAACATTATTCTGGTGGCTGCGGAAACAGGGCTAACTGACAACATCCCCGACTCTGCTGTGAAACTGGAGCAGCTAACATGCTACCGAGCAGACAGAGCCCTGGTTACAGGAGGAAAGACTCGCGGCGGCGGGGTATGTGCTTACATCCGTGATGCATGGTGTCGGGACGCTGTTGTGGTATGTAAACACTGCTCACCACTGGCGGAGTTTATGATCATAAGGTGCCGTCCTTTCTATATGCCGAGGGAATTTACAGCGATTCTGCTAGTCGTTGTTTACATCCCTCCCACCCCCAACAACAGTGACAGAAGTGCAGCCCTTTGTGAACTGTATCAGGCCATCAGTGAACAACAGACAGCTCACCCAGACGGCTTCACCATCCTCGCTGGAGATTTCAACCATGCTAACCTTAAGACTGTCCTTCCCAAACTACATCAGCATGTTGATTTCCCAACAAGAGGGGAAAACATTTTGGATCTGGTTTACACTACTCACAAAGGAGCGTACAAGGCCTCACCCCTACCCCACATAGGACTCTCTGACCACATCACCATCCTGCTAACACCAGCATACAGACCAAGAGTGAAAGTCTCCAGACCGGTTCTGAAGCAGGTACGGGTGTGGCCAGAGGGGGCCTCCTCCGCTCTCCAAGACTGCTTTGACACAACAGACTGGGGAATGTTTAAGCAGGCAGCCACATACAACAATCACACAGACATTGAGGAGTACACAGACACTGTTACTTCTTACATTAGTAAGTGCATTGATGATGTGACTCATATAAAAACCATTATCACTCGGGCTAACCAGAAGCCATGGCTGACAGGGGAAGTGCATCGGCTGCTGAGGGCCAGAAACAACGCCTTCAGAGCCGGGGATGAAACTGGCCTGAGAAGAGCGAGAGCCGACCTGTCCCACGGCATCAGGAAAGCAAAACAGGAATACACGAATAAGATAACCAGTCACTTTAAAGTCAGCAGAGATACACGGAGCCTGTGGCAGGGCATATAGACCCTTACGGACTACAAACCCGTGCCACAGATCTGCGACAGCAACATCTCTCTGCTAAACAACCTCAACAGCTTCTTTGCACGGTTTGAAACGCAAAACAGCACATGTCCACACAAGACTCCGCCCCCTCCCCACGATCAGGCTCTGTGCCTGTCTGCTGCCAGCGTGAAGAGGACACTCTCCACTATCAACACCCGCAAGGCAACAGGTCCAGACAACATCCCTGGTCGTGTGTTGAAGGACTGCGCAGAGGAGCTTAAGGATGTCTTCACAGATGTCTTTAATACTTCTCTGAGACAAGCTGTTGTACCATCATGCTTCAAGGCCACCATCATCATACCTGTGCCAAAGAAATCCACTCCGTCCTGCTTTAATGACTACCGTCCGGTGGCACTGACCCCCATAATCATGAAGTGCTTTGAACGGCTAGTCATGTCACATATCAAATCCATTCTTCCCCCCCACCCTGGACCCTTTCCAGTTTGCATACCGTGCCAAACGGTCCACAGAGGATGCAATCTGCTCTGCTCTCCACCCAGCCCTCACCCATCTGGACTCAAAAGACTCATATGTGAGAATGCTGTTCATAGACTTTAGTGCAGCATTCAACACCATAATCCCACAAAAACTCATCTTCAAACTTGACCAGCTGGGGCTCAACACCTCGCTGTGTAACTGGCTGCTCACTTCCTCAGTGAGAGGCCACAAGCAGTACGTGTCGGCAACACCTCGAGCAGCATCACACTGAGCACAGGGGCCCCTCAAGGCTGTGTGCTCAGTCCACTGCTCTTCACCTTGCTGACACACGACTGCACCACAACCTACAGCACCAATCACATTGGTCAAGTTTGCAGACGTCACCAACGACGATGAGACCCACTATAGGAAGAAGGTCAGCCTTCTGACCACATGGTGCAGAGACAACAACCTTCTTCTGAATAACAGCAAGACCAAGGAGATTATTGTTGACTTCCGGAGAGGCCACACTCAACACCCACCGCTGACCATCAATGGTGCTGATATAGAGAGAGTGAGCAGCACCAAATTCCTGGGGGTGGACATCAGTGAGGACCTCTCGTGGACAGCCAACACAACATCACTGGCAAAGAAAGCTCAGAGGCACCTCTACTTTCTCCGCAAACTGAAGAAGGCAAGAACACCACCACCCATCATGTGCACCTTTTACCGAGGCACCATTGAGAGCATCCTGACAAACTGTATCACTGTGTGGGGCGGAAGCTGCACTGACTACAACAGGAAAGTCCTGCAGCGCATAGCGAACACAGCTGGAAGGATCATTGGTGCCTCACTCCCCTCCCTGCAGGACATATACGACACTCGCCTCACCCGCAAAGTGACCATAATTGTGTGCGACTCCAGCCGCCCCTCACAGCTTCGTCCACCAGGCTGTTAGGAAGCTGAACTCTCACCCTCCTCTTTTTTTAAGACTCCCCATGTCCAACTGCTGCTAAATCCCCATGTCCAACTGCTGCTAAATACAGATTGATTATTATTATATATATATTGTCTAAATGTTTTTTTAATCTATTGCACTGTATTCACTTTATATGTTTATATGTTTATATGTTGGACTAGAGAGAAACGTCTTTTCAACTCCCCTGTATGTCCAGTACATTGTGGAATTGACAATAAAGCAAACTATGAACTTTGAACTACTGTATTATGTAACACTCCTTTTATTCCAGCCGATCCCTCGGCATCATGCTGTTCTGTATTTAACGTCAGTGATCTGTGGGACTTACACTGGAAGCTCACCACCCACTTCCTGCCTGCGATGCCGAGGAAGTACTTCAGTGTGCGCTCGCACACCAGTTGCTCATCTGCCAGAGAGAAGAAACAAGAGATGTGAATAGAGCACATGTGCACACATAAACACATCTGGATTCGACATGTTTAATGTAACGTTTAGGTATAATTTAAACACACAGCTCTTTTAAACGGCATCAAGTCTAAGACGGAGAATATCTTCACAGAGACAAATCCCGGTCAGTCAGCAGGGTCAGAAGTTAGAAATATAGTGATTATCCATTGATTTGCATTCCAAGTGCTCGTTATCGATGCGCCTTAAACATAACTTCATTTCAAGTGATTGTTTTTAATGCTAATGGTTGGAATGGGACACCTCTTGCTCCGTTCCGACCTTTAACCGAAAAAGATCAAGAGTCCCAGCGTTCCCACTTTTTAGTTACCCAGGAAGCAGCTGGCATGAAAATAAGGCTTCTTAAAACAGTGACAGTTAATGTGCTGCTTTGGAGACAGCGAGCTCTGGAATTAAATATAATCTATCAGAGAGGGTAATTAGCGGATGAATGGAGGAGAGGGTGCGTGGGTGAGGGAGAAACAGAGAGCTTATCTTTTTACTAGTGCTTTAAAAAGACGCACAAAACCAGCTGGAACTACGTATAAAAAAGAAAACGTACTTCTGGAAATGCAAATGTTCCTGCTCAGGAAATTATTGAAAAACAGGTCCTTGAAAGAAGGTAAAGTGGATTTTCCAACAGCAGCTTTAATTGTTCTAGTGTGTATCAAGCCAAGTTCAAGTTTCGCAGGTGATTGGACCTTTCTCGCACACTTCTGCTGTTGCATCACCACCTGCTGGACTGTCCATCGCCCCCTCTATTCCGGCACTGCCAATGCTCCTAAATGTAGTGCATGTGTGAATGGTGAAAATCACTAGTGGTGCCTGAAAGTTCCTGGTAAATTAGTAACCTATGTGTGAAAGAGGCTACAGTGTACACCAACACTTCCCGCTTGTGAGCATTCTCACCTGTGTGCATTATAATATGGGTCACCTCCGGGGTCACCTTAGAAGCCACGCGGGCACCAGCGCGCTTGGCAAACCTTTTGACCATTATCTAAAGAGACAAAGTGGTTAGAGTATCCTGCTATGGAGCACCAAATAGACACATTCATTGATTAGATTGCTGAATGGGCACCTGTTCATTGGGGTCTAATCCAGACGACACTAGCACCATCTTGGTTTTACTCCTGTCTCTCGGAGGAGTGGTATTTTCTTTGTCTTCTTGCCTGTCTGATGGTGAAGCGCTGTTTTCTAACGTTTTGGCAGCTGAACTAGGGCAGGGTGTCTTGGAGGCTCCGGTGCCTTTCACGCCCGGCCCCGTGTGTGCGGAGCTCTGCACGGCTGAAGACAGAGAGAAAAACAAACAAATAAAAAGAAAGAGTCAGCAACAGTTAGACTGATCAGACCTATATTGGGTATCTTTATACAAACACATTTTTGTCACACAGAGCTTAACCTTCATTAAGCACACAGTCAGGCTACAATGCACCAGACAAATCACATAAACTCTGCTGAACTCAGTCCAAACCTGAGAAGCAATAAAGAGCTCCTCTCTCCAAGTGGCAGTTGCCAAATAGACTTCTATAGTTCGCAGTAGTCTAAAAACAACGTCTCTGTCTTCTGCTCATGTGCTTCTGGACATGCACTTAATCCTTCACCGGTAGCCTTACCCATCTCGGCCATGCTGCCGCACTCCGGCGGTCTTGTGCTCGGCTCTCGCTCTACTTCTGGAGCAGCTTCTCTGCAGGAGAGACATGTACATTAACTTCTGAAGGAAATGAGACAACATAGTGGAAATTGTAGTTCAACTGCCAAAGCAACTGAAGGGATGTACCGCGCTGATCTGCAGGGTCACTATTTGGACAGAAGCTTTTTTTCCTGTTTTTGTTGTCTGGAAACTACATTTGAACTTATTAGTATTTTGCAGCATGCTGGAAGTAAAGTACGTCACAACCATCAAGAGAGGAATGTATCTGTAGTTGCGGGAATATTTCGATTGGATTTGGTCAAACACAGCATGATAGACAGCACTACAAAACACAACTACAATCCACGAAATGAAAGGGTATAGGTGACTTAATGGTCAAACATACTCAAATATATCCAAACTGGTTTTACTAATTTAAGTGCAGGCTGGAAGTCAGGACGTATTGGCACAGTGACACACGGTTAATAATATTTGAAATAAAACAATCACTGTATGGTTAAAATGCTGACTCTCTTCTTTAATTTAAAGTTGTTTGCGTCCACAACAGATGAACAGAAATTCATCGTCTCTCAGTTTTAGGGCAGAGAACAGTTCAAAAGGAAGATTTGCAAATCCTTTGCAGTCAATCATTGTCTAAAGTCTTCGACCCAAAAAACTTGAGCAAATACTCTGACTGGCTGAATCCATAATGACTTGCTGCTACTTTCAGGAGTCTTTCTGCCTTCAGTCTCTTCTTTAGTGAGTGAAAAACACTTTGATTCATTTCGAGTGACTGACTGAGCCGATCAATAACATTACACCGTTTGGCAGTAAAAACAAAAGAAACCCGGGTTGTCTTGTCTGTGTGTTAAGGGTCGTTACTGTGTCTATCTGCAGTCTCCCCGAGATAACTCCTCCTGGGATTGACTTACTTCAACCCAAACCTTTTCCTCAACCTAAGCAAGTAGTCTTATGTGCCTAAACCGAACCGCACCGCAACCATTTCGAGGGGCATATCACGTAGTCGGCGTTTCCTGTTGTAATGTACACCCGCAGAAAGACCTGCCTGCATTATACTGCTGTCCTAAAACAAGTGGATTATGTTCCCTAAAGCTGAGCAGCAGCAATATAAACCTATAGCCATTGTTTCATTTCTAATCAAACATGCTGGATTAGAGCCAAAACAATAAAAATACAGACAACACTGTCCTCACACACTCCGACTGCACTGCACAGTTGTATTTGGTAGAAAGATGTAAATGTAGGATCAGAACTCGGTACGGGCAGAAACTCAATATCCAGTTATTTGTAGATTACAAGACATTTTATAACTCATGCTAACAAAGTTTTGGAAGTTCCCCTCCTTTGTTTCGTTACGCAGGAGCTGACTACTGGCTGCGTGCCTGCATTTAAATTACCTGCACCAAAGTGATAATGGCTCACTGAAAACTTGTCATATACAGTGCCAAACATTCTGTCCAATTTCACCAGTGCTCTCATGGAGTATTTACTTTTTAATTCAGAACTTTTACAGCTAAAGCCCTCCTTGTTTACATCTCTCCCTCCCTCCCGCCTGGAGGACAGCACTTAGAACCCTGCGAGGCGAGAGGCTGGTAGAGGAGCAGTCAAGTGGGAGAGATAAATTACTGTGGCGACACAAGTTTCCCTCTAAGTGCTCTAAATGACATATAAGATGCAGTCAGTAATGGCTTTTTTATTCTCCACAGCGTAAACAGATTCTGGGTTCATTAGTGAGATTATCCGCCTGTCCTCTTGAGATGCATCACCCTCTGAGAACCAGACTAGCGACACACACACACACACACACATTAACCCGCTAACTTTCTCCTTCAGTTACAGATTGAAAGAGACCAATTACATGCCACTTGCCCCAGTTATTGTTCTGCTTAATGTGGCGGCATTGAAAGATGGCTCAATTTAAAATGTATTAACAATGTATACAATCCTTTGAGGAGAGAAACACAACACACTGGTGCAGGTTATCTTTAATTAGAGTTGTTATCAAAGGCAGGCGTCGTCTCTGCTGATCACTTAACTGACCTAGTGACCGAAAACTAACCGGCTGTAGCTTGATGTATAAATGGATGTGGGTGTTATTGATCTTTCCATCTGAAGCTCTGCCAGAAAGTGAAGAAGCGTATTTCCCAGAAGGTCGAACTATTGTTTTAAACTCGCACATACTTTGTAGGCACTGATAATTACCACGAATACAAAAACGAAGCCCACGAAAGGACCAGAAGGATCACAAATGATGACAAATCATTTACAAAGACCATACGGTCAGACAGATGAATACAGACAATTCACAAACGATTACCATGTGGTTTCAAACTGTTCCTGAGAATCATGTCGCTGTTATAGCATCGGCTCCTCGAATCATTTTCTGCAAACAATGACTTCATGTTGGGAGGCACGTTTTTAATGTTTGATAGGAAATAAGGCAGCATTTACTTATAGTGGTACTGTGGTTATGAATTATGTTTCGGCAGAGATAAAGCAATGAAGCTCAAATAAAGCACACGTATGTATTATTGTATGTACTGTGTTTTGTACTTGTTTTCTTGCTCACAATGTTGTGTGTTGATGACGGGTTTTTATGTTTCTTTAACTATTTTTCAGCGTTTTTTTATATTGAGAATGTATTCAAAGCCAAACAAATGAAACGGTTCATTTCTAAATTTACTATAATAAAAACATTTTATTCATGAAGAGATGATTATAGAGCTATAGGTCTGCCAGGTTTCACTTACCGGTCTGATCTTTGGAGGAGTCTGTGAGCGTCTGTGGACACAAAGCAATCATCAGCTCTCAATGTTTGCACAAAACTAATACTAAACTAAACTAACTCAAAAGAAAGACTAATTGTGTGAGCTCTAAAGAAAACATTTCACATTTCTTATCTGCACACCTGCGGTTTGTCTGCTCCGATTGGTTCGTTCTTTGGCAGGACTGTCTTCTTTCTCTTGCAGCACCTCCGACACCAGAGCCATCATCTTCTCCAGCCTCACCAGCTCCTTCTGCATCTCTATCTTTTGCTGAAAGAGGAGAAAGTAGAACATCTTATAATAACACGAGTCACACACTTTAATCACATAAGGGGGGGAATAAGTGGAAAAGGAAAGGACACACACGCTCGCTGCAATCTGTCAAGCTAAGAGGAGGGACCAACACTCAGCCAGCGGTTCATTATTGGAAGGGAATGAGTGCTTTTTCAGCCAGGCAGCACTTAGTGAGGACAACGCATGTCAGAATAAGAGAGCGAGAAGGTGATTGTATAATATTTAAGATAAACGAAGGGCGATCAGACAGCAAAGGAGAGAAGCGACAACAGCTTTTCCACCTGGTGCTGGTTTGAAACAACAGGGTCTGTTAGCTTAGACGTGTGTTTCAACGCTTCGCTGGACTAAGACTTTGAATTTCATCCTTTAAGTTGACAGCGCAAAGTGCATCGATTAAACAGACAATAATACCAAACCTCTGTAGTCTCAAATGTGTGTAATCCTGGGCCCTGTGCTAAACCCCAGGGGCGTTGAAACTTCCACTCGCAGTGAAAGACGGTCGACGGATGAAAGTGAACGCGCTGGAAGATGGATGAGGTAGAAAACAAGAATCATCTTCTAAGCGGCATTTCCTCTAACCTAAATGAAATGCAATTTAGAAAGCTGCTGAGGGGGACATTTTTCACAGAGCGAGGTAGTCCGTCATCCGGGGCTGACAGCTGGGTTTTTTGGGGAAAGTGTCGGGGTCGCCCTCTATGGGGCGTGACGTGACAGTGCACAGTGCGACCAGGTTAATGCTGAACAAGCAACAACTAGACGGACTTCAAAAACGCTCCGTGTTTGAATTAAGGGAAACTTTCCGTCAGGAATCAAAGCTGGTTCATGCACGGACTTCGTTGCTCGTTTACAATAGAGGATGTTTTTCACACAGCATACTGTGAAAGAAAGAAAAAAGGGATCAAGACCATAAATCCTATTTACCTGTGTAACAAGGACTTCGCTTGAAAATTGTGATGATTCGAATTGTGAGGAAACGCTGACGTTATTCACTGGGACATTACCTGCAGAGAGGGAATAATCAAAATGATTTGTGTTCTGAGATTTAGGTTTTTCTGTTCCACAATACACAAATTAGAAGAGTGGGAAGCAACAGGAGCAAGCACTTCTTATATTGTGCATCTCAGCAGGCTGCAAAGCTTAAAAATTAAAATGATTTTTGGTGACTGAGAATCAACTTACATTCCTCTGGCGTGCCAAACAGGTCTACAGACCCCTGGCTGGAATTACCACAGTCGGGGCTGGGGCACTGTTGTGCTCCACCGGCTGTATCACCCTCACCGGAGTCTCCCTGATCCTTTGTCACAGCAGGAAGAGGAGGAGGAGGAGCAGATGTTCTGAAGATTTCTGTCAAAGTTGGTAATCCCTCTTCACTGCAGTCCGACTCGTATGAAGACTCGAGCCTCCTCGCCCTGGTCCTCTTCCTGGGCACGTCTCTGACGGACGAATGGGAGCTCAGCTCTCCGCTGCCGTGGCTGTACGACGCTGCTTTGCGGACAATCTGTACCACTGGTACTCCGAGGCCGTCGGGAGTTAAAGAACACTCCGCATTTAAAAAATGTTCAGCGGCGTCTCCTATCTCCTTCCCTTTGCCAGCATCTCTCACGGAGCAGTCCGGCTGATCCTCCGTCATTTGAGAATACTTTGAGGGTTCGTGTCGCTCCTCGTGTTCCACGGCTCTGAAGCAGAGGCCAGAATCTAACACATGAGGACTCTCGATATCACACTTTGACACTTTATTAGGAGGGAGGGCACTACTGACACAGTTACCACCAGTGCTGTCTTGACCTGACCAACTGTCAGGGATTGAGGCTTCCACCACCACTGGATTAGGTTTCTCAATAACTGGCTTTCTTGTGTGGGCGGGTGAGTTAGAAGGGGAGATAAAATCACTCCAACATGAGTTCTCAGTGTCTCTTAACGCCTCTTGGTTGGTGATTTCAGGTACCTTTGTGTAAATCTGACTTTTTGTAGATCCAACCCCAGAACAAATTCGCTGGTTCCCCTCTGCTTCGGCACCCGGCAGGTTTTCTTCGTCTAAACCACGGCTTCTTTTCACATTTGGACGGCCGAGAAGGAAAGATTTTCTCTTAGTGGCTTTGAAGCTCTTGAGCAGCTGCTCCGTGTCCACTTCACTGTCATTCTTATCCTCCTCATCAGCACATTGTGCCTGTTGAGTATTGTTTTGGTCGTCACCTTCAAGTGTTGGCTCTACCACAGCTGTCGCTGGACTCGTGGAGCTCGGGACCACAGCGACACGACACGCAGCGTTAGCTTCAGACAACGCTTCAGGATCTGGCACTTCAGCGATGGACTCTTCAACAGCTTCCGTTGGACACAAATAAGATGCTCTCTCGCCAGACTCCATGTTTTCTATTTCTTCCAACTCTTGATCAAAAATACATCCGTTTCTCTCAGCCACCCATGTCATGTCTTCATTCTGAGGAGATGCCTGATCGGCCAATGCTCCACCTTTAGCGTCCTCGGGTTGCTTTGCAACACTGCCGTCTTTTTCCGCTTTATTGGCTTTCGAGTTTGCTTTCTTGTGACCCTCTTGGACTTCCTCAGTGAAGAGCTGAAGTCTCCTACTTCTCCTGGTGCTTTTCATGAGAGGGACTTCTTGGTCTTCGCTGCTCGGGTAATTCTCAATATGAACTTGGACTTCTTCTGACCTCGGTCTAGCCTTAGGACTAGTTTCTCCATTTTTAACTCCGACCAGAACGAGAGGTTTCGACACTCTAGCAGGCTTGCCTTTTTCTGACCTCATGCTTTTACTTTTCCTCTTCTCAGTTTTCCTTTGCTCAGCACTTTCTGACTTGGCCTTAGCTTGCTCTTGCAAATCACTGTCGACCTGCTGCAGCTTGTTACGTGTCCTTCTATTTGACTTCCTGTCTGGTAGCTGTTGTCCAATATCCAACGCAGGACATGGAGCATCATCATTGCCATCAATTTTGTCCCTTTCTGGCATGTTGTTCAACTCTTCCCCGTATTTGTCTTCATCATCCGTCTGTTTTGCTTTTGTGACAATGTCACTGCTAGTGTCATTTACTTCTTCTATCCCTTGTTGCTCTTCTTCCATATCGCTTTTATCTTCAGAGCACATCTTCTTGACAAAATCAGCTGGAGTGAGAGTGTTCTTCTTCTTCTCCCTTGTTTTGGAGATGATTCGTGTTTCTTTGGTTGTTGGTGTTTCGATAAAAACATGAAGTGGAGGAGAGATGGTGGTCCTGTTGCCCCTTCTCTCTCGTTTGTAGACGGCACCAAACACCTGCTCTTCAAGGGCTTTAGCGCGTTCCTCTCTCTTAGGATTCACCTGACTGTTGTGTATTTTGATATCTATAGTTGAAGCGGAGGAACAGCTGTCAGAATCATCCGTGTCTTCGTTAGGTTTCTCTAACTCGAGACTTCCTTCAGTTGGAACCTTCATGAGCCACTCGGCGACTTTCTGGAGACTCTTCTTCTGTTTTTCCTCCAGAATCTTGTCGGCCTCCGAATCCTTTTTCTGCTTCTTCCTTGAGGACTTTCTTAAAGGTTGGTGTTCGGTCTCGTCTGGAATTAATGATGAAGGAAGGGAGGCTTTCTCCGATTTGCGGAATCTTATTTTGCCTCTCGTTTTGTGTGTTGAGGTTTCCACAACTTCTGACATCTCTGTTTCCACTGGTTCCAAATGATCCGTAGGGCTGTGCATTTTCGTTGGTGGGGCCTCACCAAGTCCACTGTCCAGGCCTTCAATTTCTGTCGTCATAGGACTTGTGTCTTCAAGTCCCATCAGTTTTGCAAATCCATTCTGGGCTAAAAAAAAGGAACGGGAAAATGACCAATAATTAACCTTTTGGAAGACAACACACTTTAAAAATGAACACAACTAGCTTTTAAATAAAGGTAAATCTGCCATACATAATAAGCCTCATGATTTTACCTGCTATAGTCGAGGAGTGAGACCTTAAAGGATCATCATTGTCGACATTTTCCACGTTGTCAGGTGTATCTACGGATGACTTATCGGGACAACGTTCAGTAGCTTCAGCATCTGTGACTCTGGATCGAGCAAAATACAAGAGAGAACAAGATGAGCTAATATTATGAATAAATTAGCATTTGTGTTATGCCTGGCCTAGTATGTATTTGAAGGTCTGTATTATATTCTTTGTCTGAAGAAGAGCTGGGCGTTCGAAACATCACTTGGTGGTAATCAAATATAATTTCACGAGAGCATTCTCTAGTGTGCGGACTCCATTTATACGTCCTCTGTCCAGCGCCTACTATTTATCGTTTGGATGTGCGTTATTTTTCGTTAACATATTTTTTTAATTTAGGTTATTTCAAGTGACAGACAAGTTAAATGTTCAAATGTCTTACCCCAGTTGTGCTTTCTGCTGGGACATTCCAGTGAAGTCTGAAACAATAAAGGTATTGTTATTAGAAAATGTAATGTAAGTTCATTTTAAGAAGTCTGTGATTTACTCTTACAGTTGGTGCCGGTGTCATGTTCATATGCCTGTATCATGTCCTGCAATCCTGCAACAAGTCTCTGAAACCCAGGACTCTCCTGCAAGCTCCTGTAGAAGTAAAAAAATACACACATCTTATGATGATGAGTTAGTATTAAAAAATGATTACGGTTATAGTGTCATGTTTGTTTTGTTTTATCCAACCTTTTGGTTACTTTGGTTTTACACACTGGACAGTCAGCCTTGTTGTTTTTGGTGTTGTCCAAAAGTTTCATCATACAAAATCTGGGGGAAAAAACACAAATAGTGTTTGAGTTCTTGAAAAAAATATCAGTTTTTTTTAAATATCAGTTGACAAAGTGAAGAGTAATCAAACATTGCTTACTTGCAAAACTGATGGTCACACTTAGTAGAAACAGGTTCAGTCATTAAATCCAAGCTACACGTGAAAGAAAGTATGAAGTCAGTAAAGAACAGTTTCACAAGACGACAAACCTAATCTTTTAATCCACCAAAAAGTGTGCAGAAGAATGTGCTTATTATACTTCTTGGTCAGCATGACACTCACCATATGGGACACTGCAGCGTCTCCCAAAGGACTGAAATACCCTTCCTCACATCGGTGGTTGTTGGGGTTTTCATGGTGATTTTTTAAAAGCTACAAATGAAACATCAGAGCACATTAAGAGGCTGTAAACACACTGCCAATGCTAGGAAAACATATACACTCAAGTGTAACTGGACCTAATGGTCAACACGCCTGAACAGGTAAAATATATATATATATGAATACCGGATTAAGGTGTTTTTGCTATGGTTATATTTGCAGTACAACGTTACTAACAGCAAACATGTGATTAAGCACAATATTCCAGTGAGAAGTCAGAATTAACACTCAGTGGTAATATTCGGTAAGTACATTGTGCTGTTATAAAGACTGTTTAATGTTCATGTATATGGTGTCAGAAGCTGAACTTGGCAGCTAAGATAGTCTAAACATTAGACTGGCTAATGTTACGTCAGCTGCTATGATTTGTTTTTGGGAGGTTTTACGACTATATCCTGCATTCCTGACTTTCTGAGATTAAGACAATCAACACGAATAGTTCAGCAGAACAATATGTGATTTAAAGAGTAGATAACCGTCTTTGAAATAACCTCGTTGTAAATAACAATAATAATCCACATTTACCTTGTTTTCTTACAGTTTGGAGTTATCAACACAGCAAGCAGCCACTTCAGTTTTCCCGCAACTATCGTCTTCTTCTGATTTTGTTTAACTGTGTTTTGAGCTATTGTTACAGCGCCGCCTACTGGGCCGGAAGGTGAACTACACACTGCATAGAAGTGTCCCCACCAAAAATGATCTATCATGATCCAGGCTTAATAAATACTAGCTTTAATTGTCATGTATGAAAAAATATATATTCCAACGTGACTTTGTGGTCAATATCAATCATTAATATCAATATCTTCTTAATTTGTACGGTCTTTCGAGGTGACTTGTGACTTTCACGCTTTTAATCTGACGTCACATCCGCCGTAAACAACAACAAGGAAGTGGAAAGAGAAGTCCCGAGGTGCAAAATGCAACAGTCACGCTAAATATATTAGAAGTGATTTTCTAATTTTAAACGCCAGCAAATCAGGATTATTGTGCAATAGTTTTCGTTCTTCACAAGTGACAGTGAGTCCATGTTATGTTTGTGCACCGTCGATGTTACACACAAGCTAGCTGCTAAGCTAACGTCAGCTAGCCAGCTGCCTCGCAGTTTAGACAAACGGCTAACGTTAACTAGCAAGAAAGCTACAATCTGTGACGTTAACTTTTAAATAGAGACGTGGCGGTCAAACTGTCATTAGTACTTATCACTACATGTTCGCTATTTACAGAGTGTTTTTCTTCTTGTAGCGATGGAGGGCTCCAAGTCGTCGAGCACAATCATGCAGGTCAGCTTCGTGTGTCAGCGGTGCTGTCAGCCGCTTAAACTGGACACATCTTTCAATGTGCTCGATCGGGTCACAATCCAGGAACTCATTGGTATGTATACCCAGGAGAATGAATCACCGGTGCAGTAATGTAACGTTTGGGAGATGACGTGTAGTGGCGTTCAAACTGCTCTATCTGACATGAATCCATCTCTCCTCCTCAGCTCCGCTGGTCACAGTGACTCCCAGCAAACAGGCTGACAGCACTGAGGGAGAGACGGCACCAGAGGTTGGTACAGCAGAATATATATATCTATATATATATATATATATATGTGTGTGTGTGTAGTAGTAGTATTCTCTCAGGATATTTTCAGCACAAGATTACACTGACTGTGACTGCAAATACCTGGAATTCATGTGAGCGATTGTGTTGAGCAACTACTGTCACCATCAACCCATCATTCTACTTAAATAACCCCTATATCCACTCTCTATAGGCATATGAAAGATAAGATATACTTTATTGTCCCGCAGGGAAATTTGTCTTTGGCTCCAAGCCGCTGCATCACACGATACACTTGCCAGCATCACAATCCACATGCGCGCACGGAAGTTGTGTGATAAGTTGTGAGATGAAACAGTGACGTAAGGGGAACTGATATTTTGACTGTGGCAAAGTTACATGTGGGCCAATACATATAACTACAGCAATCTTAAATAATTTATGATTAAGTGTTATGGTTTGGTAATACTGGATTATTCTGCTAATTAGCAAAAACATATGTAAATTAAATTATTAAAAAGTTACGGCATATTTTAAAGAAACCAGCACTAAAGCTTGTTAACGTCATGTTTCTGTTTGTACTTCAGCTATACAGTAAACTGATGAGATTGAATAACACCACTAACTTTTTATTCTCTATCAGAAAATCCAATCTGCAAGACTTTTAGAAGACCAAAGCAATCCATTATTTCAATTAAGTTAAAATATTTAATTAGCAAGCATAAGTGTCTCACAATTATATTTTCCTTCCAGGAGACCTTTGTAGAAAACAAGCAAGGTGGAGTGTCAAGAAAATACATCCCTCCCGCACGGTGAGCACTCAACTCTTTTCATTCCAAAATTTAAAGTGAATACTGATTTTAATTTATATGTGTTGATTATCTCCTGGTTGTTATGTTCCACTGTCAAATGAGCTGTGGGTAGACTTGCAAATGCAACATATCCAGCAGCAACGTTGACTGAACCACTTAATCCTGCCCTACAGGATGATGTCAACAGAGAGCGCCAACAGCTTCACACTGATTGGAGAAGCATCGGATGGTGGTACCATGGAAAATCTTAGCCGTAGGCTGAAGGTAAAGTCTACTTTCACTTTGCTGAAAAATGTTAATTCCATTATGTCAGTTTTCTCTGCTCATACGATTTTGGCAAGAATGGCAGACAAGTAGGCTGTTGACAAAACAGTTTGTTAAAGTGGACTCATTGAAGCTCTGATCCCACCCAGGTGACCAGCGACCTGTTTGACATCATGTCGGGCCAGACAGACGTGGACCACCCGCTGTGTGAGGAATGTACCGACACCCTGCTTGATCACCTGGACACGCAGCTCAACATCACAGAGAACGAATGCCAGAATTACAAGTGAGCTTGTGCACAGCAAATATTCAAAATGCCTACTTATAAGCAGTAAGTGTGTGTGTAATGACACGCTGTATGTGAATGTGTTTTCAGGCAGTGCCTGGAGCTGCTGTCACACCTGCAGGTGGAGGGAGAGGAGACCCTGCTGGCAGAGCTGCATCACCTGAAGCAGGAGGAGGATGCTCTGGTCCAGGAGCTGGAGACAGTGGAGGAGCAGAGGGCTGCTGTGGCCCAGGACCTGAGCCAGAGCAGGGTCCACTCTCAGCAGCTGGACACAGAGGAGCTACAGTGAGTGACCCAAGGGTTTGTGTATCAAAATGTGACAGTGCTACAAATGAGACCGCAGCTAACAGCTCAGTCTCTTTCCACTGCTTCGTGCCAAAAGGTACCAGAAGGAGTACAGCGAGTTTAAACGGCAACAGCTGGAGCTGGATGATGAGCTGAAGAGTGTCGAGAACCAGATGCGTTACTGCCAGATTCAGCTAGATCGCCTGAAAAAGACCAATGTCTTCAACGCCACATTTCACATCTGGTAATGCCACGCTACGCACACACAAAAATGTTGTTGTGTATGCTAAGAACAAACAATTGTGTTTTTCTGTCAACCAATCAACCATGACTCAGCAAATATTTAATATGGGCCTCCGGGACAGAGTCAATGCCCATTGACTGAGAATTGTTTCTCTCTGTTCTCGTCCAGGCACAGCGGCCAGTTTGGAACCATAAACAACTTCCGTCTGGGTCGACTTCCCAGCGTCCCGGTGGAGTGGAATGAGATCAACGCGGCCTGGGGGCAGACGGTGCTGCTGCTGCACGCTCTGGCCAACAAAATGGGGCTGCGCTTCCAGAGGTGCACATTGTTGTCTGTTTTATTTGACCACAGTTGTTCACAATCAAGGTTTATTACAAATACTCTGCAAGTCAATGCAAAAATGAAGCTCAAATAGCACTTCTCTCTTCAGATATCGTCTTGTCCCGTACGGAAACCACTCATACTTAGAGTCCCTGACAGACAAGTCCAAGGTAATACATACAGTAGTTTCAAACACAGCTCTCCCATCATTTAAAAAAAACTCCTCCAGGCTCCAATTCTGCCCTTTCTTTCTGTCTTGTGTTTGTCCAGGAACTTCCTCTGTACTGCTCAGGTGGCCTGAGGTTCTTCTGGGACAATAAGTTCGACCACGCCATGGTGGCCTTCCTGGACTGTGTCCAGCAGTTCAAAGAGGAGGTGGAAAAAGGAGACACTGGCTTCTGCCTTCCATACAGGTCAGATACCCGCAGACCAGCACGATGTGCACATTCTGAAAATACAATTTAAGTGTGCAAGCTGTAAATATTAATGAAGTTTGAAAGCACATTCTAAACCATTACCGTGATTTATTCTAGCCGGAGAATTGTCTGCTTTGATTATGCTATTGTGGCAAATAAGGGACATTTGGGAAAGCTTTGGCTATAAAACCGCTTTAATTATTAAAGCATGGCCTCCAGTACAGCATGAACAAAAACACTTCTGTAACTAGCCTTATAAAGCTCACAGTATCAACAGTCAAATCTCACCGAGTCCAGTTGAGAAATGTACAGTACACCTACTCTGCCCTGGTGCTTGACACACATTGAAGCCTACACACTGGGGAAACATCACACCAAATCCATTCTTTTAACAAGCTGAACAGCAGAGAGACCGGCCTGGTGGCCCGAAACCTTTCCGAAACTCAACATCTGTCAAACTGAAAGAAGTTATTGTTTTATTTCCGTGTCTCAGGATGGATGTGGAGAAGGGCAAGATCGAGGACACCGGTGGCAGCGGCGGCTCCTACTCCATCAAAACGCAATTCAACTCTGAGGAGCAGTGGACCAAAGCGCTCAAGTTCATGCTCACCAACCTGAAGTGGGGACTGGCCTGGGTCACGTCACAGTTCTACAACAGATAAGACTTTCTGGACAATGCGTCGCGATGTTGCGTATGCTCCTCTGATGGATGGATTTCGTGTGAATCTTATTACTTACTTGGCCAAAGGAAAAAAATAAGTGGTTTTGTGTGTACCATTTTTGCAAGTCTTTTCAGTACAAAAGAAGCATGAAGCAATGTTGTAGATCTTCAGTCCAGATTGTCTGTGTTTTTACGTGTTACAAAGACGGGATAATTTGTATTTGTATATAAATTGGGGGCCCACTTTGGAAACATGAAAGACGGGCCCGGTTTGTCGTCACGTCTCCCTTAGCGAGCAGAGTGAGATAACTACATGTTATTGCAAATGGAAGTCTCTATTTCTTTTTCTGGCTTTTTCTAAAGCGCTGACGTTGCATCAAGACAACCTCACACGTCTTCAGACTAGAATGTAATTTAAAAGAAATCTCCACCAAATTCACTTCTAACCACTTTGTGAAGTTCTGCGGTTGTGCTGCACACCTTTGAAATCACTTTCTTCAGTGAGAAAAATGTTTTTCTCAATGTCCCAATTGCATGAGCTGTAAGAGGTCATTGTAATAGACTAACACTGTGTAGTATTCAACAAGAGTGTCAGTATTTTATTTACCTCGAATGCAGTCATCTCGTTTGCCACTTGCGTACATACGTTGCAGGTTAACTGTTGTTTTTGGAGGTACACCGATACAGCTCCTTTGTGTTCGTACTCTGCACCACAATGTTAAATGTGTCTTTTAGACATGATGGATACTTTTAATGGTGGGATTTGAGTAAATAAAACATTTCATGCTGTGAAAAACGTTGTGTGGAAAGTTTTTTTTATAGATTAAATGCATTTGACACAATGTAATTGCTAACATCGAAACACACTCAAACTACGTAACGGTATACCAATGGCAACAGCATGAATGATTCAATAAATATATACTCAGTATTGTCCTTTGCAATACATGTACTATTTGTCCACTTTCCCAAATCAAGTTAAGACACCACAGAGTTAATCAAGTGTTTTTTTTAATGCTTTCATAATTATTTCTGTGTAATCTTAACTCATTACAGCACTCACTCAGTCAGCCCCCCTATAAGGTTAACAGAAACATTAGAGGGGGTACATTTCATGGAAAAATATGGACTTAATTAAAATAAGCTGACTTCCAGTTATCCAGTAAAATATTTAGTCATTTATGAACCTCTAATAGTGCCATGTCATCAAGGTAGACCTTCAACTGTGGTCATCAGTCATTCCTTAAAAGTCCCAGGTTCAACCCTATAGGGACACACATTTCAAACTGACCACTTTAGTTCTGGAAAAGAGTTTGATAGATGATGCATTTTAAACAGAATGGGATGGGATGAAATTTCATTAATACTTCTTCCCAACCTTCCACAGAGTACAGGCAGCTGATCTTTCACACATGGCGTACTTCTCAGCCTGTCGGTTGTGCAATTTTTTCGGGTGCTTTTACTATTTATCAGGTAAAAAAGCCCCTTGAAAGGTTTTTGTTAGTGCATGCATATGGGCAAATCTTTGGGTTCTACTGAGCCCACAGACTGGCCCTTCATTTTTTTTAGCACTTGGATGATCGTGGTGGGCACAATTCCTACTACATCACCACGTCATCCATCATTTTGGTTCCATTCACACTTTTAGGATCCCTACATCCCATCGTGCTCTCTGCCCGCTCACAATCAAGAGAGCAAAAGGAGGCGTTTGATCAAGTGTGCAACGTCTCTGCGCGGCTTCGTCCTTAACCTGGGTTTTATTCCGGTTTCTCTCAGCCCGTTTCAGTTGGAGGCACTGCTGCCGTAGCAGCCGGAGGTGGAGGGAAGAGGAGGTGCCTGAGGTGTGCTGCTGGCCAGGGCTTTGCGAATGTGGGGCATTAGGAAGGGGTCGCTGGCCAACTGCAGCACATCCACACGGTCCTCCTTGTGATAAGCCAGGCAACGTCGAATGAAGGCCTATGAAGAGAAAAGGGGGTAAGAAACTGAGTAAGTGATGCTGTATATATGTGTATAAGTGTAATGGGAGCAGTGCAGTGACTTTAGAGTTTTTTTTAGAGAAATGAGTGCCACACCTTTGCTTCCGTGGTGACCACGGGTTTGGGGGGAAACTGCACCTCAGTGGCTTTTAATATGGTGTTTTCTTGAAGGATGTCCTGCTGTGACTGGTTGTGACCGAACGGCTGGAAGAAGAGGAAAGGGAGGCGGTTAACAGAGAGCTGAAAAAATCTCACAGCAAAAATCCCTGTTAAAGAATGCAGGTAAGTGGTTACCTTGCGTCCGTATAAGCTCTGGTAGAAGATGACCCCTACTGACCAAACATCCACCTTGTTGGATATTTTGGGGGGCTCCTTGCCCACCACAAAGCACTCAGGGGGCAGGTACCTGTGAGCCACACAACCACAACACGAGACTGAAAGAGGTTCTTTCAGCACCATCTTCAAATGAAGAGGGGAAGTGAATTCAATGAATGCTTGGTTACTGAATGCAGTGAAATGTGTCTATTTACCAGTAGGTCCCTGCTCCTTGAGAGGTCAGCTCCATGCCATCTGCAGAGTTGTAGCTGTCATCATCCATGATCTTGGACAGGCCAAAGTCAGTAATCTTAATCTCTCCACAAGCTATGCCATTAACTAACAGGATGTTTCCTAAAACCACAATAGTAAAAGCAACTGTTAAAGCAAAATAACAAACATATGACTGTAAACGGCCTTTTTTGGAGGAACAAATACATATTTTTCAATACACAAACATATGTGCTAATATTGATCTTAATTATAATCTGACCCAGATTCGTTTGATGTTCGACTACGTTCACATTACGGGGCTAAATCCTCAATTCCAATTTTGCTCCCTTGATCCGATCTCTCTGCCTCAACTGTTCACGTCTGAAGTGACTCGTATCTGACGTCAGTGTCAACGGATCTCTGCCCTGAAACGCCTCGCATGCGACCAATAACGTAACACACACGTTGGACTAATCATTGGTCTGATGGCCTATTGTTCCAAAAACATAAACGGGATTTATTGGAGTCATTACTACCAGACTCCGTTAACATATAGCTCAATATAATAGGGTTCCCCACATACAAAAGTGGCTTAAATCCTGATTTAGGCCCTTTTGCTTGTAATGTGAACATAGCCCTGAGTAACCTTTCCAAAAACATAGCATGTGGAATTGTTCAAAATGGCAAATTCAGATTTGATTGTAGCTCTATAGACAGAGAATAGTGCTGTTTTTCACTATTCTATAACTGAAGGGGGAAGACAAAAAGACAAATACCGGGCTTGAGGTCGTAGTGGATGATGGGGGGGCGAATCTGGTTGAGGTACTTGAGGGCGTTGACTATCTGCATGACGATAGAGCGGCCCTCCTTCTCGCTCATCAGCTTATTTTGCTTCAAGTAGAAATCCAGATCGTTGCCGTCACAGTACTCCAGCACTGTGCAGAACCTGCAAGCGGTAATCCAGCGGATCATTTGGGAAGTTTTCATCACCTTTTAAGTTGGTTTGGCAAACTTTGTGGTAAACAGTTGCTTATTTACACATCCAGCAGTTGTGGATAAACAGTATCATGAAGTTGGAGTAATGTTTCTGGCCACACCTGCAGCCTTTTAGATCCGTCTCAACTCTTGAGGTGTATGTATATATAAAACCAAATATAACCAAAACAGTTCAGTTGCAGACTGGAATGCGCTGAAACTCGCTACAAAGCTGTGTGGAAGCTGCAGATTCAGGTGCTTAGTCTCACACTACATAAGACACATTGTTTTTTTAAAATATAACGACGTTGAGCATTTCAATGTGGCGCATACAGACATTATATTTGACATTTATGAGCTTTATGTAAAATGATTCACTTACGAGTCTGTGTCGAGTGAGAAATAGTCGTAGAGTTTGACTATTCGAGGGTGGTCAAGTTCTTTGTGGATTCTGTACTCTCTACAGGCGTGTCTGAAAAGACATTAACCATTTAGTAAAAACATCACAAATAACAGTTTTAAGCTTGAAGATGTAAAAGTTCATCTAAGATCAAAACATTTCCAATGAGGCAAAGAAAGAAGAGCAGGCACCGTGCACAGAGCTGCAGACTCACTTGTGGTAGTTGTGCTTCTTCTCCTCCCTCCAGTTCTTGTTAAGTTGGTGGATTTTAATGGCCACATACCTTTGCTCTGCCAAATCAAAAGCCTGCAAAAAAAAAACAAAAAACATACCACATCAATAAACACAAAGTGAGAGAAGCCGACTAGAACCAGAAAGTTCCACTGAACGCTGTATCAGCAGCTGTTTACTGGATACAGAGTGTGAGTCACATCACAATACAATTCTGACCTTATGTTACTCAAATAGACCAGCGTAGAGGAAAAGAAAGATTATATTATTAAGGTTAAATGGCACAAGCTTACCTTAAAAACTTCACTAAAGCCACCTCTTCCAAGTAAATGTAGCAGCAGATATCGGTCGTTCAGCGTGGGCTGGTCTTTGAATCTATAGAAAAATACTTTTTTTAAACATTTGTCTCTTTCAAACTGTGTTTTTAAGATAAAAGCAGACTACAGAACTTGTGAAAAGCATGTTAAACTGAGACGATACATACTGCGAGTTGTCCTCGTTATGGATTCTCTTCAGCTCCCGAATGTGCAGGTTTCTTACTCGCTCCAAATGCTCCAGTTCAGCCTGGATCTCTGCTTCTTCCTGCGTACAACCACACAAATCTATCATCTCCCTCAACCCCTGATACACGGAAACAGGTGAGAGCAGTACTATCGGTCTCTAGGTTAGAAACAAATCCAAAAACAAAGAAAAAGCTGCTTTAAGTGGTGAACTGGTACCTTTTTTAGATAACCAATTCGAAGTTTAAAAATCTCCTCTTGCTCATGATATTCTGCCAGCGACAACCTGTGTGAGATAAAGTGGCAACAGTTTGTAATTTATAACATTATAACTTTATAACCAGGTCAAATGGATAAGTAAAAAATAAGGAAATACAAAGCCTCCTTATTACAGATCTGCATCTACTCTGTGAAGTAATCGAGCTACTATGTGTAATCTTACGCTTCACTCTCCTGGCCGTTGCTCCTGCTCTTTCGTTTGTTCTGTTCCAGGCTGGGTGGAGGTGTCTGGGCCATGGAGGGAGGTTTCCTCTTTCCCAGTAACTTCCTCTGCCTCTCCATGTCCTCCCGCTGCATGTTGACTCGCTCCTGCTGCCTAGAACATGCAAGAACAATCTCGTGTGAACACCCTTGTGTGCAGATTGGACAAAATGTAAAACATATATTTGTGCCTCTTTGCATGCTGACTTGATGAGGTTCTGGAAGGCATATCCATCCGTCCACTGCTCGGTGAAGGAGGCTCCATGCCGTACGGTGGTGAAGTGGCCCAGACGCAGACGATCCTGCATGCTCTTGTCCCTGCAAGCCATCTTCTCCTGCTTGGACTACGGAAAAAGATGCACGCTTCATCAAGCTAACACAAGCCGTCTCTTTCAAATAAACACATCTGTGCAAATGCACACTGTATGTACACACACCTTCTCGATTAGGAGCTTCTTGCTCATGGTCACACACTTGTTCAGCCGTTCCTTGTAGCGCTCCAACATCTTCTGCTGCTCATCTACCTGCCGCCTCAAGTCACAGTTAGCCTGCAAAAAAACACAAAAACACATCATCACTCTGACATCTAATTGTAATGACAACATGGATTCAAGGCTGTTTTGTTCTTAAACCGACATGATGCTTGCTGACATTTACACCAAATGTATTTTAAGCAAAAAATGGCATTTGAAAATCAACGAGCACATCCTTAATATGAACGGCAAGGTGCAGGTTAATTACTTGGTTGTGACAAGTAGTAGCACATATGTCGAGATTGTGAAGTGATTATTTGTGAATGGGCCTAATATTATACTTTTATATTCAGACCAGACGAAGTTCAGCTCATCAGATTTGAAATATGTTCTTATCCTACCCTCAGCAGGTCGTCTATCCTCCCCTCTTTCTTCTCCAGGTCAGAGTTCTTGTCCTTCTCCAGTGCCGTCAGTTTCAGCAGCGTCAGTTCTGACTAAGGAAGAAGGGCGAAGACGACGACAAGCCAACAGTTAACATCTCATCAGACTCAACTGATGCAGACACCCCTTTGGGCCAGTCGATAACAACACACACCATCATCTTAAATGTATCAAACTCAGACGTTGGTGTCTTGGATAGTAGACGTGCATTCAAAATCTTGACCTTTAATTAGGCCAATTAGTGTAATTTGCAAGGATAGCTGGATGTTTGTTGCACGTATTGTGTCAGGAGAACTGCAGTGTGGGTAGCAAGGCCTTTGGAAATGTGACCTTTAATTCTTGCACATCTTGAGCAACTAGTGTCATTTTTAAATGGCAAAACAAGGTGTGAAGATGCATCAAAAATCATCGGTTGTTGTAAGAGGCAAATGTAAAAGGCTGAGCCAGATTCAAAGCGTGCTTTAATTCAAAACCGAACAAAAAGGGGCTTTAACTTATACTGAACGAAAAATCGGAAAAGTTGGTGTTAAGTTGAGGCCCAGGTCAGCCAGTGCTTTACCTGGATGGCTTTGTGCGAGCATGAGTGTGTGGGGGCCGTCTTCACAGAGCTGCAGGATGAAGAGTCTGTGTGGGCAGAGCCTGTGGACGAAGGACTGCCTTGCTGAAACTGCATTCCAGAGAGACAGGTAGAAAGAGAGAAAGGTAGAAAGACACATGGGGGGAAAATATAACAATTATGTAATAAAGACAGCAAAGGGAGATTATAAAATAGCTGAAAAAGTTAAAAGGAACAAATAATGTAGCTATTAAAAAATTGAAAATGTAATTCAACAATTACTCAGGTATTGAGTTGTCCAGTCCATTTGAAATAAATAAAGAAATAATGTTTCACTTTTGTCATTTCTTTTGCCAAGCATGACTTTGCTTTATGAGCCCAGAGGGGTTTAGAAAGGGCAGGTAATTATAGAGTGCTGTCAAATCTCACAGTTTTAATGAATACGTTTTGTTGCACGTACATCTGTCACTACACGGGTCTTTTAATAGACCAAATTCAAATATGATAGAGTTCTTGAATAACAATTGTACATACAACCATGGAAGACGCTGTTTAGAAGGAAGTGAACACGGTTGTGTAGTTGTGATGAGGATGTTATCTTAACATAGAAGAATGAAAATGGGAGGTGAAGAGATTCTTAATTAGATTAATAAAACAAGATCGTCAGCAAAAGCCACTATAAATTTGAAAGTGCAGCCACCAGTTTTACATAATGTACACATGGTCCTCCTGTACTCCTCCCTGCCTTACATGCCAGCTCAACCTACAACCAAAGTAACATCTAAAAACATCAACACCAGCACTGAAAACAATAACAGCTTGTTTGTATCTACGGCCAGAGTTTATCCTACATTCATCCTTCCAGTTAATAACCACACACACACACACACACACACACACACACACACACACACACACAC